GCACCAATTCAAGCTGGATCACTGCATCTCTCAGTGGTAGGTGCAGGGAAGAAAGGAGAGGCACAAAGACAGAGGTAGAGGAGAGGAACCAGGAGGGGAAGGACCGTGGCAGGTGCTGTAAAGGATGATAACTCCATGTGTGATTCCTCTGGGCTGGTTTCCCTCCACCCTCTCTCTAACTGAGGCTTGGCTCAGGAGAGGCAATGACTGTCTCCTCCCAAAGCAGGAGCATTAGTGGTCCCACTCCAACCAGAGGGTCTCCTTTTCAGTCCTGCAGCAGGGCTCCCTGACCTTCCACACACCACTCCACTGGTGACAGCTCCCCCCACCCCTCTCTCTCTCCTGTCTCAGGTGCAATACTTTGCAAACCAATGACCCCACCTATTTCAAGAGCTGCACATATGATCCATTCTTCAACCCCCTCTGCCCTGTCTTCTGTGTCCGTGACATGGTGGAGGCAGCTGGAGAGACCTTTGAAGACCTCGCACTGCTGGTACTTGTTTTTTTAAAAGTATGGAAGATGACTCCAAATTCCCCAAGGATGTGGGCAAGGGATGCGGGACAGGACTGACCTCTGAAATGCTAAGGGAACGTGTGATCTGTGTCTGAACAGTAAAGAACTTGGCAAATCTCTGATCCCAGGCTTCTTATGGAATAAAATGTGTTTTGCAGGGGGGGAGCATCGGAGTTCGCATTAAGTGGGACTGTGACCTGGATCATCCTGCTGCCCAGTGCCTGCCACAGTACTCCTTCAGCCTGCAGGACAGGAGGTACAATTTTAGGTGAGGATGCTGGAACAGTGAGAACACAGGCCTGGGGGTTGAGCACACGGCAATTGTTTGAGATCTTAGTTTTCCTGATGCTCTGAAAGGAGCGGCAGGGACAACAGAATGTGGTAACACAGTGCAGGGTGTCTGTACCAGGGTGCCATAGTAGCTCCCACCCCTTGTAGCTCTGCTCTTTGGAGCTGTGTAAGGCATTACCTGCCTGAGGGCAGGGACGTGTGGCTGTCCATGCCTGTGCTGACCCTGAACTGGTTGCACTGGGCTGGTTGCTGAGTGGATGCTGATGCCAAGCTAGCGAGTGAGTCCTGGCAGCAGGTCCATCACCCACACCCCAGCTGGCTGGAGGACACAAGATGTGCACGGGCACACGGTCACCCCAGCAGTCACACAGCCCTGGCAGCCCTCTTCCCTCGCTGCCTGCACAGAGCTGCCATGGCTTTGAGCTGCGTCCACTGTCTCCTGCAGAACTGCCTCCTACTACTGGGACTCCCAGCGGCGGCTCTACCGGAACCTGCTGAAGCTTTACGGCATCCGCTTCGACATCTCCGTGCACGGCCAGGTACTGTCTCCTCTGCAGACCCTGCACGTGCAGTCCCGGTGGCTTTGTCACCAGGGCTGACTCCCTGCGCTGCTCCCTGCTACTCCTGCAGCCAGTCCTGGCTTCCTGCTGGCATTGCTTCTCCCCACCCTGCTGAGCTCCTCACCTCTTTCCAGGGTTTTCCAAGCAGAGCAGGAAAACCTCCCATCTGAAGAGAAAGTTCTTGGTAATACCCTGAGCAGGGAGGCTTCCCTCACTGAGGATCTGACATGGGTGGTGTCAAGTGCTGGGCCCTCTAGGCAAGGTGAGCTTGGACAGAGGGCCTGCGGGCATCTCTGAGGGTCTCATGGTGGGAGCACCCTGGTAAAGATCAACCTGAACTTTTCTCAACCTAGACAATTAATCCTTTCTTGATTAATTGTACCTTTGGAGAGAAAAGGCATGGGCATGATCATGGCTGACCCTACTCTGTGCAGCATCACTGACAAACTCAATACTCAACTGTGCAAAATGGAGCCTGTGCAGAGAGGACTTGCTGCCCCACAAGATGGCCACAGCTGGTCTGTCCTGGCCTTTTCACCTGAAGAGCACGAGAAGCAGGCAGTTCAGGACAGGCTGCACCACTTCTGGGTAGTGAGACCAGGTCCGGGGGGGTGTGGAGCAGGAGAGAATAGCCAGGAGAAAGACAGGAACCCAAAGATCCCTTTCCTCACAGATACCAGACTCATTTGAGCAGAGGGACCCATCACATCAGGGCTGTGTTTGCTGCTCTCTGGGATGTTGTTCCATGGGTCCTGCAGCAAGAGGGACGCTCCCGCTGTGCCCGCAGGAGTAGGTGAGTCACAGTAACCTCTGGTGCCACCGAGTCACGAGCTGCCTCTGTCCTTTCGTTGACAGCCAAAGGGGTTTTGAGTCAGGGCAATAGCAGTCAGGTTCTTACAGTTGGGCATGGAGAAATGACCCCGCTTTCCTCCAGCACCTCCTTGGCTTTAAGCATGCTGTCCAGTGGGGCTTGTCCCCCAGCCCTCTCACCACTCTCCACCAACTGTTTCTCACCAGGCTGGGAAGTTCAGCATAATTCCTGCTGCCGTGAGCTTTGGCACCGGCATCGCACTCTTTGGTGCCGTGAGTACTCCAGATAGGCTCTTTTCTTCTGATCTGTGGGTTGGGATTTGCCACTCGTCTGTTGTTTCCCCTGCCTGCCTGGGCACAAGGCTTCCTGAGTGCCTGCCAGCTCGGGAGGGGAGATTGTCAGGCAGGGTCTTAGCTCCCTTTTTCCTGTTTGTGATCATTAGCAGTAATGACACTGCCGGATCAAGGATCCTGAGCACTGCCAGGGGCACATCTCGTGGAGGCTGGGTGTTTGTATTGGCCCTGGGAAGGCGTGTTGCTGGCTGGTCTATTCCAGCTGTATCAGCCCGCAGGAGAGAACACTTCCCCTGACTGTAAAGGCAGCCAGTGTCTGGCTCCAGCACAGACGTGGCACTGTGGTCATTGAGATGGGGCAGCCCCTTGCAGAGCACTCTGTGGCTCTTCCCTTTCAGCAGAGGAAAGGGGAGCCTGGGCTCCCCCACCTGCCTCCTCTTTCCTCCCAGCTGCGCTCATCCCAGTCCCTTCTGTGGCTGTGATGGCAGCCCAGATGGTCACATTGAACCTCCTGTGCAGCTAATGGCAACGGGCTGGGTCAAAGAGGACCTGGTGGAGCTGCCAGGGTGAGCTGGGCCAGGCGGGTCAGGCTCGCTGCCCCCAGCTCTGGCTTGGTGGGAGCTGGGGCAGAGGGCCTGGCGCTGCTGCAGGAAGTTTTGCTGCTGACTGCCCTGCTGCGTTTGTCTCCAGGCCACGGTGGTCTGTGACCTGGTTCTGCTCTACCTGGATGCGAAGGCTGACTTCTATTGGAAGGAGAAGTTCGAGGAGGTAAGGGTGGGGCTACTTTGGAGAGGTGAGGTTGGAGTGAAGTTTTGCAAGCAGACAATTATTTTCTGCCCCTGGGTTAAAACTGAATTCACAAGATCCAGGAAAACTCCAGTGGAGCAGTTCTTAGTTTTTGACTCTTGGGCTTGGTGGCTGCTCTGAACTGAACCTGATAGAGATTAAACTCTTACGAGTTTAATGACAACAGGCAGCAGTGTGGAAGAGGGGGGACCCAGCTGGTGCCCGCCCTGCAGGGGAAGCTGTACCACGGTCTCAACTACTGTTAGCCAGCAAGGAGTCCCTGAGGGGATCTTACTGTAGAAACCTGACCCAGCTCCACATTTGTTCACCCTCTTCCAAGGTGAATCTGGCTGAACTCTGTGTGGAGGGAGGGCAGCTCTCTCCAGTGTGCCCTGGTGCTGTGTTGGTGCTGGCACTGCAGTTCAGCGACAGGTTTTCCTGCCCTGTGTGATTCCCACTGTGGCCCTGCCCAGCCCTGGTGAATTTGGGAGTTGCAGGGTGTGGGCTGGGAGGCCCCCACAGAGCAGGAGAGCTGCCAGCCCTAGCACAAGGTCATCTTTGGCTTTATCAGGCCAAGCCTTAGAAACCTCTGAGGACAGAGATCCTCCAGCTCCTGGTGAACTGCCCCAGGGCTGTACCATCCTACTGGGGGGAAAAAAAAGTTGTTCCTCATGCCTGATCTCAAATCACAGGTGGAGTCGGGGGTCTCAAACAATGAATCAAGTCACACAGGACTGAGCAGAGAAGCGCAGGACTACCTGCCTGGGCTGGCCCTTTGTCTCTAGTCTACTAAGATGCCCCTGTTTGTTTCTGCAGGCAAAACCCCCTAAAGGTAAGACTGTGGCTGCAGCTCAGGGACATCAGGAATGTTCTGCCACAAGCACCCTTCCTTCTGGAGCAGCCTCAAGGTAGATGCGATGGGGACACGGCCGTAGCCCAGGTGGAGGTGGCCCAGTTCTCCTGGCCTGAGTGTGTGCTGCTGGGGTTAGGGTCTGCTTTTCCTGGAGAAACATTTGCAGCAGCAGAAGTTCTTGGCTCCTGGAGCACAAAGGCATCCCAACGGGCAGCTGCCAGCACTGACTGGCCGCTGACCCAGAGGAGCTGTGCTGTGGAGCTGCTGCATGAACTGGACCTTGCTGGGAAATGGCTGGCCCATGCTCAGCACAGGAGGCTTAAAAAGCTTTGCTCTTATTCATGTTCCGGATGGCTGTGATCCTTGATTTCTTGTGAAAAACAGGGATGCCACAAAATAAAGCTGTTTAGGGAGTGGGAGGTGGCTCTGCTCTGTCTCTAGCCCTGGGGCTGGTGTGAAGGTTTTTGAGGTGCCTCTAACACCTCGCAGCACCCTGCCTGCTTCCAGCTGGGGTGGCTTCACGTGAGCTGCCCAGATCCTCGGGAGCATCCCTGCGAGTAGCAGGGCTGGGCTGTGCCACCCCCCCACCCCCACCCCCAACCTTCCAGCTACACTCAGGGAGGGTTTAAGAGCTGAGCTCAAGGCAGCAGCCCTGGGCTGGCGCTTGCTTGTGGTGCCTGCTGTGCCCCTGCCTCCTGCCAGGACTGATGCTCAAGGGGGGACAAGCGCAGCGCTGGGCTGAGCCTGAGCGTTTTGGAGGTGCTGAGCTCTGTGCTCCCACCTGCTCAGGGACGTGTCAGCCTGGTGCAGGGCAGGAACCGGCCAGGTCTGTGCCGCCAAGGTGCTCCGGGAACCCTGCAAGCTCAAAAACACAAGTGTGTGGAGACACAGAGGGGGATCGAGCATGGTTTAATGCTCCCTGGCAGGGATGGAGGGGTCCCGCATCGCCACTGCTCAGCTGCCCTCCTTGAATGGCCGCAGGTAGAACTGTGCCGCCAGCTGCTTGGTCATGGTCTTCAGTGCCAGGAAGGCAGCCACGATCTCGGCGACGAGGAAGGCCAGGAAAAGGCTGTGCACAGCCATCTCCAGCGGCAGGGGGGTGATGTGGCTGTCCGTCAGCAGGAAGAGCAGGAGCGGGAGCTGGATCAGGAAGGAGAGGAGGAGGAACCCAGCCAGCTCGGGCACCTGCAGGAGCAGAGCGTGGAGGCCAAGGGGTGTGGTAGGGGGGATCCCCTTTGCCCTAGGAACCCCCTGCATCGGCCACTCCGCCGGCCTCGGGCACGGGGACTGTCCCCTCCGTGCAGACCTGGATGTGCTCACATGCGGCCGAGCCCAGGGAGGGTTACAGCAGGAGAGCAAGGGAGTCAGTCCCCTTCGTCCCCCACGAAGCGCAGGGCCCTGGGGCCAGGGCAGCCAGCCGGTGCTTACCTTCTCCTGCAGGTTCCCCATGTAGCCCAGGTAGAGGCGGGAGCCCTCGCCCACGGTGAGGATGAGGAAAGCAGCGACCAGCAGGAACTGGTAGTGCCGAGGCAGGAGGTGGTACTGTAATGGGGACACAGCCTCGTCCCAGCCAGCCCTGTGCCCCAAGCCCAGTTTGTGAACCAGCCCGTGCCCTCCGTGCCCACCCCACCTTGTCCCCAGCACCCCATGCTCTGCCAGCTCCCACCTGCACTGCTGCCCAGCCCTGCCCCATCTTCCCTCTCAGTTTAACCTTCCCTGCCTGGAATGTTCAGTGGTTCTCATGGTTTCTGTTTCTGTGAGCCAGAGGCAAGACATCTTGTGGGGGAGAGGCCATTTTGCTCGTGTGTGTTGTGGACCCGTTAATTTTGAAGATGCTCCCCTCTCCCCTGCTCAGCGTGGCCCCTGCATGCCCAGGGAGGTTGGGCAGGAGCAGGCTCACACCCCACACCCCCCCCCCCCACACACACACACACACACTCCATGCCCCACGGGACGGTACCTTCAGCTGCAGCATCATCCCCTCGGCCAGGCACCAGACCGGGAAGTAGTAGACGTTGAAGTAGAGCATCATCTGGAGGGGCAGGCTGCTCAGCACCTCGCGGGCTAGGCAGGGCAGGCAGGGGTGGGCAGGGTGTCCAGCACCCCGAGCCCCTGCCTTGCAGCTCGTGGGGGGCAGCGCAGTGGCCCCTGCCTTGCCGGGGCGTGTTGGGGGGGGGGGACACACACGACATGGCTGGGTAGCAAAAATGGCTGTTTGCAGCAAACGCACTTATTTTTGCTTGCCCTCGTCGGTGGGCGGGAGCAGGGACCCTTCAGGTGCTCCCGAAGGGGGGGTGCTTTGGTGATGTGCTGAGCGGGCTCGCGGTGAGGAAGCAAGAGCAGCCCCCCCCCCCCCCCCCCCCAACCCAAACCCCTCTGCCGCCGAGCCCTGCTGCCCATACCTGGGGGGTAGGGGTGGGCAGCGCCGCTGTCCCGCGTCTTGTTGTTGATGAAGAGGGAGCCGCTGAACGCCGCCAAGCCCCGGCGGAGGTTTCGGGGCAGAGGGGTGTGCGCAGCCATGGCCAGCAGCCGAGCCTTGCTGGCCCCAGCTCGGCTCAGCCGGGATTAGCCAGAAGGTAATTAACAGGATGACATGGGGTCACCTGGCTCCTTGGGGACAAAGCTGCTGAGCCAGGAGGAGGATGTGGGGAAGGAAAATTCCATCCCCCCCCCCCCCCCACCTCTGGGACACCAAGCCCCCAGGGGAGCCACAAGGATACAGAGCATCTCCCCTCTGCATCAGCCTGGGGCGGGGGAGCAGCAGGTGGGACCCATCGCCATGTCCCCAGCTCGTGCACCCTGTGGGCAGCACGCTGCTCCACCCCACCCTCTCCCAGCCGGGTTGTATCGGTGTAATTACTGCTCAAAACTCTCCGACAGATGAGGATGCCCAGGGAGGGGATGGTGCTATTTGCCAGAAACGCTTCTTCGAAGCCTCCTGACTCAGTGGAGCATTTTACCCATCATGGTGAGCTTCCCTGCTAAGAGCCGAGCCCGTGGGTCACCGAGCTGCTCAGTGTCCCCAAGCCCCATTGAGGCTCAGGGGTCCTGGAGAGGGCGGGGGGGGGATGGGGTGAGTGAGACGGTGGTTGAGCCAGGAGTGAATGGCAGGGAAAGGGGATGGTGCTTTGGGGCCTTCACCATTAGTCCTACCCAACAGACATGGTCTCATCTCATGATCTTTAGCCTCCAACCCACCCCAGAAGGTGCAGCTGCTGCAAATGTTGAGAGAGAGTATTGTAAATGTGCTCCTTAAGGGCCGAGCACTAGCAAGGGACACAAGAAACCAAATAAAAAGAGGATTCTTCTGCTTGATAAAGCCAAAATTAAGCTGCAGAGCTCATTGCCATATGCTGCCAAGCCAAACCAAACCAAACCAAACCAAACCAAACCAAACCAAACCAAACCAAACCAAACCAAACCAAACCAAACCAAACCAAACCAAACCAAACCCAACACAACCACAACACAACCACACCACACCACCTGGGGCTGAAAGCATGGTTAGGCCAATGCATGACTGGCTGAACTCCATCAAGGGCTTCCACACACAAGGAGCCAGTGTCTCAAGGCAGGTCCGTGGTGTGAACACAGCCCAGGGTGTGTGTCCTTCCTCCAGCGATCCTGAGCAGCTGTGACACCACAGTGGGGCCCCACAGTCCAGCTCAGGGCAGCCACTTCCCTGTCCTTACATTGCCGGTTTAAAAAAAAAAAAAAATCCCAACAACCTATGCAAAGTGGATTTCACAGAAAATCTGGCTGAGTGTGGAAAAAATACATCCTGCTATAAGCATTGGCCTGTTATTAGGTAAGGACACTGAGCTCAGGGAGGACAATGGGTGAGCAGAAAGGCCCATGAGGTCCTTCTGGTCTATTTGGCCATGCCTGGACAAGACATCTGAAGATGCCACTGGTGAGAAGGCAGTTTCTGCTGCACCGGGGAGGGTGGTTGTCCACAACCTGTAACATTGTGCCCCCTCCCAGCCTCAGAAGTGACACTTGGAAGACTTGCCTGGAGATGGTTGGCCACCACCATTCAGCTTGGCTCAGCTGTAGCCGAGCCAAGGGCAGCCAGCCTGTGGGACACGGGGACAAGCGTGCCACTGCGGGAAAGGAAGAAGGCAAAGCTAATGGTGTTGCCATGACCTCCTTGGGGGCTGTAAGGAGAAAAGCGAGGGGTAAATGCCAGTACATGAAGAAGCAATGTTCACCCAAGCACTGTGCAAGGTGCAAAAGCGAGGGCAGAGCTGGAGAGATGAAGGGTGAGGCCACACTTAATGTCTGGGAAATCACCTCGTGAGGAACGGTGAGTGCTGTTTTTAAATGAAGTCTTAGGGCACAAGAGAACTAAAAAGAAACCTGTCACCTGGTGTGATGCTGCAAGGAGATGTCCAGAGGGGGTCTCAGGAGGGAAAGCTGTGCTGTGCCCCCGTGTCCTGCCAGCGCACGGGGCGAGGTGCGGGCAGGGCAACAGGCAAAGCCAGGATCTGAGGAGCAGGAGCTGGTGGAGAGCTCCGGGTCTGGGGGCATCACATCTGTGTGGGCAACCCGGGCGAGCAGCCTAGATGGTACCTGGACAATCTGGTGAAGCTAAATGTGACGGGGCACTGCAGCCGGGGAGCACTAACAAGCTGCACGTGCCCCAGCTGGGTATAGCTAATGGTGCTAAATGGGAACAGGTGGTTTCTTAAGAGCTGTAAAACTTGCTGTCTTGTCATGGGAGAGGTGACAGAGGCGACAACCCAGCCTTGCCCAGCTCCAGGAATATGCTTGCCACCAGGAAGCATCTACTGAGACACTGGACAAGGGGCCCCACATCCAACACTGTCCTGAACCGGTCAGGATGTCCAGCTCTCCTGGCAGCTCTGCCCATGTCCTGAGGAAAGCCACGCAGGTGACTGGGGTTACTCATGTCATGGGGTGATGTTCCCAGCCCTGGCTGAAACAGCTCTTCTGCAAAAAGGGGGAATGGGACTTGTTCCCCACGCTGCAGCTGTAAGCTGGGACAGAAGGTCCTTCCTCAGCACCTGCATGGTCTGTGAACATGGGGGCGATGCCCACTGTGCACAGCTCATGCCCAACGCTGGTGGGGCCCCAGCAGAAGCAAAGGAGTCAAAAGGAATCTTCCTGAAAAATGAAGTGCCCTGCCGATCTGTCCCAGAGGAATCCGGAGGATGCCAAGCCTTTGGGTGAGCAAGACGACAGAGAGGCCTTGGAAAAGCTCAGCCAAGTTGTGCTGGGGGAGCACGTGGGGTGTGGGATCCACCAGTCTCACCCAGTGTGGAAGGCGTGGCAGAGCCCGGGGGGGGAAAACCACAGAGCTGCAGGGGCTGGCACCCTGCGAAGCATCCCCAGGCACCCCCAGGCAGGTCCCCGGGGGAGCTGCCAAAGCAGGCTCCGGCCATCCCACCAGCCAGACACGGGCTGCAAAGGGGCTGGGTGTCCTGGGTTGAGTGAGTGGTGGAGTTTTTTGGTGGCAGGGGAGGGGGCTATCGGGGCGGCCCCCTGTGAGAAGCTTCTCGAAGCTCCCCCAGCTCCACGTCAGCTCCACTTCTGTTTGGGAAATTGAGCCAATCAGCTGCGCCTCTGCGATAACGTATTTAAGAAGGGACGTGGTGACGAGCAGTCGGACTTGTGAGGAGGAGTTGCTGCAGCTGCGTGAACACCAAGGTCAGTGGAGGAACGGAGGAAGAAAGGAGGGGGGAGGTGTGCCGGAGCAGAGACCCCCCTGTATCCTGTGGTGAAACGGCAGGGCGGCCCCCCCTGCCACCCATGAAGATCTACGGTGGAGCAGACATTGATTTATGGCCTGTTGCTCCTGCTCAGCTGATCAAGGTTCTGTGCCCGAAGAAGGCCGGGGTCTCGTGGGAAAAGGCAGCCCCGCTGCTGTAATTCAGTGCTGGGAGGATTGCAGCATGCGGGGGAGTCCCACGCCGGAGCAGCTCGGGAAGGGCTGCAGCCGTGGGAGGGAATCCAGTCGGAGGAAGTTAGTGACCCATGACAGAGCAGTGTGGGGAACGCTGCGGCCCATGGGAGGAATTCAAGTCGGAGAAAGTTTGTGGAGGACTGTCTGCTGTGAGAGGGGGACCACGATGGAGCAGGGGGGAACAAGTTTTGGACACTCCCCTCACCGAAGATGAAGGAAGTGGCAGCGCTGACTGCACCCCCCATTCCCTGCCCCTGCGCCACTGGGGGAGGAGGTAGAGATATCGGGAGCAGAGCTGAGCCCGGGAAGAAGGGAGGGGTGGGGGGAAGGTGTTCTCAAGATGTGGCAATGCTTCTCACTGTCCTACTCTGTTATGTGTTGTTAGTGTCTGTAATAAATGTATGTTCTTTTTTTTCTTCCCCTAACGAGTCTGTCTTTTGCTCGTGATCATAAAAGGGGGATTTTTCCCCCATCCCAGTCCTATCTTGAACCCCAAGCCTGGCTCTCTGTCCCTTCTCATTGCCGGAGGGGAAGGGAGAGAGCTGCTGCGTTGGGGTTGGCTGCCAACCAGGCCCAAACCACGGCACTGGGGCAGCGGGCCGGGCAGCGCCGGGTGCCGGCCCCTCTGCAGGAGCCCTGCCCGGGGCACCGGGAGCTGAGCAGCCCCAGGCACCTCTGCTCTCAGAGAAAGCCCTCACACGTGCTGCACTGGGGATGGGGACAGAGACATTTGCCTTCTGGGACCTAAGACAGACTTGCAAGTTCCCATCCCTTCACGGATCCAGCAGACACGTAATGGTTCAAGCTGACCCTGCTCACCGCTGCGTGCTGAGGCATGCACTTCCCGGCCTACCCACCCCTACCTACATGCTTGGAAAAACCTTTCAGTGAAACCAGAAGAGACCAACCAGAGATAGGACAGACAACTGGCTATGTTTCTATCCAGCAAAGATCAGAAAGTCTGGAAATAAATACAGGCGAGCTGGGTAGAAGTGGGAAGCCTCCGCAGAAGAGGTGCTTGCACCACCCAGCCAACCTGCAGAGGTGACCCGAGGCCTTGGAAGGAATCAGAGATGATCCAGATCCCAAGAATAGTACTGCTTTAATTCGTAGGGGGTGAATCAAATTAAAAATATAAATCATCTTGCTTTGGGCTGAGGGTAAAACACTGCTAGGGAAGAAACTTCCCCCAGGACAGAGCACTGGAGGCTCTCCGAGGGAGGTTCTCGCCCCCCCAGCTCTGCTGGGCTGATGGACACAGGGCTGTGGGCTGGTCAGGTCCACTCCTGAACTGGAGATAAGGCTCTGGTTCCAGTGAGGGGCAGAAAACATGACAGCAGAGCACCGACATGGAAAGCTGAGATGAGAAATGCAGCGTTGGCACTAGGCAACAGGAGGAATGAATGACGAAGGCCAGAGGACAGCCAGAAATACTCCTCTGGCTACTTTTCCTCGAGTAACATTTCAGCAGCAGCATTAATCCCGCGATAATCCTGGAGGAGAGTCACAGCACAAGGCTGGCTGGAAGGATGGCCACCAAGCCCAGGGGCTGCAGTCCAGCTGCTGCACCTCTCTGGGGAGCCCCGCTCCGCACCCCAGAGACTGACTGGGAGCCGCCAGTGCCCAAACCGAGCCCCGAGAGATGGGGAGCAGCGCTCCAGCCCCTTGTCTGCTCTGGGACAGGGAGATGCTGCGGGTGCTGGGCCGGGGACTGAGGAGTTCCAGAGCCCTCAGCTTGGGCAGGGACCCACCTTTGCTGGGAGGGGCTGGATGGGATGACCAGCCTGGAGAAGGGAGAATGCGAAACACAATCACAGGCTGTACAGAGAGCACCCGGCGTCACCCCATCTCCCTGGGCTCCGCAGGGGAGCTGTGGCGACGCTGCAGCCATGCAGGGAGGGAGCAGATGTCAGGCCCCGGGGGGGCGACGCGCATCGGAGCTCTACCGGGAGCGAAGAGGATTTGGGAAGGGGCAACATGCTTGAAAGCACAGGGAGCAACAAAAGGCCCTCGCGCTGTTGGCAGGGGTGAGGGACGGGCTTGGGGCAGACCTGCCTGGGGATCCCCCCAGCCTGTCGGCAGCACCCGCGGCCGCACGGCGCCCCTGCCCACTGCCAGTGCCAGGGGGGCTGCTGCTCCAGCCTCCCATGGGAATTGCAACAGCAGAGCCCCAGCCTGGGAGGCACCGGGGCAGAGGAACCGCTGGCGGTCTGCTGGGAAGGTAAGTGTGCAGTGACAGGCACCGGGCTCATCCAAGTCTCAGAGGGGAATGACTCAGCCAGGGCGTTTCCCAATTGTCCATGGAGCTGCCATCCCGTCTCCCCACGGTGAGTGCAGCATCAGGAGGGCGCAGCCACCAACGGTGTTAGGAGCCTTTCCCAGTTAGCCAGGACATATCTCCGGTTCTAAAAAAAGAGAGAAAAAAAAAAAAAAAACATCCGGCAGTGCTGTGAGGTGTCTCCCACCACACACAAGCCAAAGTGCTCGGTGTGCCTGGGCGCTGCCCTCGGCGCCAGTGCGGTCATTGGTCACCAGTCCCCACTCCGGCACCTGCGCTGCTCTGCGCAGAGGCACAGCCAGCCCGGGCAGGACGGCAGCACCCTTCCCTCCACCCTCACTCACATGTCACTAAAACTGCCCAAACACTCATGTGCAGGTCCTCAATTCCGTGTAAAACTGAGTTCAAACAGTGTTTTGGTTTTTTTTTCATTTTAAACAAGCCCTTCTGGCATTCAGCTGAAAATTCATGGAAAGCCACCGCACGGCAGTCATCTCCCCAGCTGAGCGGGGTCCTGGCCAAAAGGCAGCTGCCCATTCCCGGCCGATCTGCGCACCAGCACCCTGCAAAGGGGACGTAGCAGCCGTGTCCACCCACCCCTGGGGTGGCTCCTGCCACCCCCAGCCCCACCACCCAGCGCAGCAGCATCACACCCCCGCGGCGGGGGCCGCGGAACAAGCATGCAGCCGTAACCAGTGTCCCCATGCAGGAATGAGGGAGCGGGCCCATGCAGGGGGGCTGGCTGCCCCTCCTGCCAGCCCTTCACGCCCAGCGCACCCAGGACCCCGAACTGAACGTACTTGCCGTGACGGACAAACAGCCTAAAAGGTGCGAAAGCAGCAGGAGACAGAGAGAGAAAAGACATTCAGGTTTAAGCGGCTTGGCTTCCCCCTGGGCTTGCCAAGCTCCGCCACGGGGGCCAGCAGCTCCCCCCAACGCTGGGCTGCCCATGGGATGCCACCTGCCTCCCAGCCACAAACTGGGTGGCCAGCAACCATTTCCCAGTGTACTGGAGATGATGGGCACAACCCTGCCCCGGTCACCGGTGGCTGGGTGGACCCTCGCCACGCTCCCTGTCCCAGGGGTGCCCGGGGTGTCTGAGCTGGCTCGGGGCTGCCCGGAGGCTGGGAGTGCTTCTCTCCCTGAGCTTTTGAAAAAGTCTGCTTTTAGTCCAGATGTGGAAGCACCCCAGGGACAGGGACCCACGTTCCTCCCTCAGCTCTGATTCCCATGCTAAAGGCTCCTTCCTGGCTGTTGCCACCTCCCTGCCATTTGCCTTCCAGCACAGCATGTTCTGCACCCACGTTCTGCGTGCAGGTGTACACGCTCTCCTGTGCAAAGTCTTAAAAGCAAAGTGAAGGGAGAAAAATGCACTTTGCCTACAAGCTATGCCCCAATGAACCGGAGGCTGAGACACCAAGAGCCAGGTGTCCCAGCACCGCGAGCTCTCTGGGCTTTGCTCTTGCAGAGTGTTGTGCACAGGCTGCACACCCAGCCCCCCCCTCTGCAGGTCCCCTCGACTGACTGGGTGCTCGGGGACACCCCGGCATCAGGCAGTGCTGCCTCGGTGATGTGCCAGCACCCGGTGGCAGTGAGCACCCACCAAGTGTGCAAGGATTTGGATCCTGGTGTTTAATACAGACCCCCAGTGTGCAGGATGCCAGACCTGGAGGTGGCTGGGAGGCAACACTGGGGGGGGGGGGGGGGGGGTCGGAGTGAGCAGGGCAGGAAGGGAAATGCAAGAAGGGTGCAGAGTGGGGAGCAGTGGGAAAGGGCTGCCCAGTGCCCGTCAAGGTCCCGCCTCAGGGCACTCAGCCCTGCCCAGCACCCCATGGCTATGCTCGGGCCCTGCCCTGGCACTGCCGGTTCCCGCAGTGCGTCTACTTACTCCACATCACGTTTTCGGATGGTTCTGCCGGCAGCCAGGACCTCAGCCACCTTGGACACGATAGGGTCGTAGTTCATGCTGGCTACAGCCATCACCTCGTCGCTCCTAGGGCCAGGCAGAGCAGAGCAGTTAGGGCAGCCCAGGGTGGCCACGGCTCCATCACCCCAAAAGCAACATGCTGGAGAGAAGCAGGAAGCAAAGAAAGAGAAACACCCGCTCCAGGGTCAGGAGCTGTCCCAAGGTGTGAGCATCACGGGGACTGTGTTAGCAATAGGGGACAAGGGACAGGAAAGGGCTCGGAGCTGGCACTGCAGTCTGGCCCCACTGTGGTCTCACTGATGCTCACGTGCTGCTGTGGTGAGTGTCACCTGAGTGCCCAGGGGACGGAGTCAGCTCTGGGCACCCTGGCACCTGTGGAAAAACACCAGCAAAGGTGGGTCTGACGGTGGATAAAAACCTGGACCTCAGCAAAGATGCTCAGTGGTTGCTGCTATCCGGGCAGGCGATCCCTGCACTGCTGCCCTGTACCAAGGGAGTGGAGAGGCAGATGGTCAGGATTTCCCTGTGGGACACTTGGTCGTGCTGCTCCGCATCCCCTTCCTGATCCCCAACCTCCAAATGGGCAGAGTGCCCACCTCTGAGCCTCTCCACGGGCGTGCTCCTCCCAAAGCACTGGGACAACTGGAGGGTCCCACCAGCCCCAGTAATGAAACCCCTATGTATATGGGATGTCCAGCAGCACGTCCCAGTCTGGCTGACCGTTACCCTCTAGGATGTCGGTGCTGGTGGCACAATACAACCTCAAAGGCTGAATAGGAACAAATGAAGTCGAAGGGAAGAGGACGTAAAAATGCTGGAGGAGCTTTGGCTAAAGGTCACAAGGTAAACTAGAAGGGCTCTTCTGTTTTGAGGTTTGAAGAGATCAACCTGAGCTCAAATCTTCAAAAACTGAACCCAGGAGGTGACTCGTAAATAGATAACTGAATAAAGAAACAGTGTAAAGATCAGAGAAGCTGCGTGGGTAAAATTTTAAACACTGGTGATATTGTTGAGTAAGTTGAAGAGTAGAAGCACCCAACAAATCAAGATCTGCTATTCAATCCACTGCCAAAGGACTCCGTGAACCAACAGAACAAAGAGCAGCCGGGGAGGATAGGGGGAAATATGTGCTTGATTCCTGGGAGGAGGAGAGCAGAAGCCATGCTTCAGGGGACAATTCATCTCTGTGGAGCCATGGGAGTTGAAGTCATCTCTCATAGCTGTCCCACAAAGCCATGGGGTAGCTCCATCACAGAAGACTACCCATTTCAAAAGGCTCTGATTCCTAAATAAGCTCACTACAAATAAGGGAGAGCAAGTCAGAAGCAGAGCAGCGGTCTGCCTTCCCTGCCCCATGGGTGAGCATGGGTGTGCAGAGCAGACCAGGAGCCCAGAATGTTCTCTGGAGCCACTGAAACTTGTCCACAGCTTAGTCCACACAAGACAGACCCTGAGATGGTCCAACAGTGACCAGGCTCCAAGCACAGGGTGCTGCTCCATGGGAATGGTTGTGGGAAGGGGGAGCTGCTGCATTGCCAGGAGTTCTAGAACGAGACTTGGATGCCATTGGAAATCCCATCTCAAGCATCCTTAGCTCACTGCAGAGATGTGTACCTACAGCAGAGGGGATTTCTGGTGTCTTGTGGTTCTTCCATCCAGCAGATGAGGTGAGAACAAGGAGTAACAGACAGATGTTGACAGGCAATACATTCACGGTGGAAAACAGGTGTCCGTGGCAGGCAGTGAGGATAATTAACCCCCTGAGAAGATTACAAAGCACATGTGTGTTCAGCTGAACTGCCTGCTGGGCTGTCACATTCGAGGACTGCTGCTGTGATTTAGAAGAGCTCTTTACTTTCTGAGCCTGCATCTTCTCTGCTGTGATGCTTGATGTCCCACCTGATGCAGACGAGGTCCTCCACTCTCCTCCCCAGGGGAGGATCCCATTCCCTAGGGGTGTAACTCCAATTCTATGTGCGGGGACTCATGAGTTTTCTTTCCAAGATGCTTGCAGCAATACCTGATGGCACGGCAGTGCAGATTTCCTCTTCTCCTGTTGCCCCAAGTTCAGAAACAGAAACTGCCAGTGAGAACCCCGTCCCACCAGGAACCACAGCCTGGGGAGACCCTACAGGTGGTTGTTTCCATCACACGGGGCCTTGGCCTTGGCTACTTCACCATTGTTTGATGTCTCCAGCACACAATGGGGGCTGAGACTCCAGGACTCCTGGGATGCTCTGCACTACCCTCACATCACACCACACAGTCTTGAAGCTTCAGTGGTTTCCTCTACATTTGGTTTCCTGAGCGCAGCCAGCTCCCAGTTGGGAAACACAAAGTGGTCGGAGAGACCTATCCATCAAAACCAGGGGGAGATGTGCTGTTCCAAGGGAATGAATAACCAAGGGGTGCAAGGGAAAGGAAAGGAAGACACAATCCCACCCGCTGCCTGCTGACTCAGCCTCAAGCCCAGCCAGTGCCCAACACGACCAGCCGGGAAGGCAGATGCAGCCCAAACATTTCCATCAGCAAGAAATGGGGCATCTGGTCCTTGTGTGAAATAACTCACGGGGCACTGGTGAGCTGGAGCATCCCACATCAGCAGTGGCTTTTAAACATTTTTTCTGACAGATGGAGAAGCCAGGAGGAATCCTTCTTTTCCAAAAGGTCTTCAGAGGCAACAAGAGTGCCCTTCCTGAACCTGGTATTTGGAGCAAACGTGGCATAAAGGCTGAGGGAAGATGGAGCACTATGGATGAGCACTGTGTCTACATGGTCTTCCCCTTCCTCCGAAGGGTTCAGTGCAATGGAAGTGGGGAACCGTGAAGAAGACAACCACGGCAAATCCCTGGACCTCCCAAGATCTCCAAGGTCTTAGGGGTGGGGTGACATTGGTCTGTTCTGGCTGAGGCGCTGTGGTGAACGCAGTGTCCCATGGGGGCATCTGCAGAGCATTGTCCCATACCCCTCCTGGCACAGGGCCTCCTGCTGACCCCTCCACGGGTCACACAGCTCTGAATGGGGATAAGTAAACAGCTTTCTTCTTCAAACTCTGGGGAAAAAAAAAAGTCTTATTGTGAAAGTCAGTGCTGAGGACAGGCTCCAGGAGCGGGAACCACCAGCGGTTCATGCAACAACCAAGAGAGTGTGCCCCAGAGGGACGAGTCCAAACCACTGGGTGAGCACGGCAGAAGGAAGCAGGAGGGGATGGTCAATTTGGGACAGTGGCCTCAGTCCGAAAACATTAGCACCAACCAGAAGAACTATCACCAAATGAGAAAAATAAGAGGAAATGCTCCCGGTGGCCTCTCACAGCCGCGCAGACGGGGACTTGACGACAGCCAAGCAAAGCAGCGGGAGATGCACTGGCTGGCCCCCTGCCAGCTGGCACTCCCCCCGTCAGTACCTCCGGCTCTCGGCGCAGGATGCCATCCTGGTACCCAAAAGCCATCTCCGGGAGCATCTCCTGAGTGGCAGAACAACACAGCGCTTACCGGCGGGCCCCTGCCGCCCGCCCGCCCGCCCGCCCGCCGGGGAGCTGCTGCCCACCGAGCCCGGCTCTCCTGCGTGCCCGCAGGTCTGCTGAGCACGGGGCCACTGCAAAAAGCAGGGATTATGCACCTTGCTCGGGGCTTTCCTTTTGAATGGGCTCTGCAGATGTTTAATTAAAGCAATCTGCCATTTCCTTTTTAATTAGGGTTGGGATAAAGAGCTAAACGGTCTGGTATGGAAAGGAGGAGTAGAGGGTTCAAAGATGATTGCATGCTGGACGGAAATGTGTGCCAGTGCGGCTCAGGGATGGCCGGCCCCGTAACACTGCGTTTGCTGCACACAGGGAACTGCCAGCAAGGCCAGGGGACCCGAGACGGGGCAGCGCAATGGTTGTGGAGCAGCTTTGCAGGGGATGCAGAGGCAAAAGTACACACAACTCTGCAAATCACTGCAGCAAAACTCCCGAAAATGGGGCGTTATCTTCCCCTGGCTCACACTCACTGAGTAAACTGTGTATTTTAAAATGCTGCTTTGGCAGTTATGTGATTTAAATGCACTGCAAAACACCGAGAGGGTAAGGAGTGACATCCCTGTGGCTGGAAAAGGGAAATGTCCCTTTGCAGCAGCTCTCCCCAGCACATGTAGTGCCTTGGTACAAATTCCCCCCCCTTTTAGGCAATTTTGGCCAAGGTGCCAGCGAGGTCAGAGTTGTGCCCATGTGCAAAGGGCCCCCGGGTGCCGGCAGAAGCTGGAGCCCCATCGCCTGCAGCAGGTTTTTATCCGAGGTGCACAGGCACCAGGAGAAGGAGGGTGAGCACCGGCGACCCGGCTGGCTGGGGCCGCGGGGTTTGAGCGAGCCCCACGCCTCTCCAGCTCTCTGCCTCTCCAAGCCCGATGGACACGGCCAACTGACAGGCTCCATCCTGGAGTGGTGGAGGCAATCAGCCACCCCTGGGGAAGGGGACGTGGAGGGGAGGCCGTGAGGGACATTGGGCAGGGGACAGAGGTGGTCTCTGCAGAGCAGAGCTGGCTCCTGCCCAGAGCTCCCTCCTGACCCCTGCCTGGATGCTGCTGCCAAGCAGTCTGCTTGCTGAGCCAGGCACACCCTCACTTCCCTGCTTTCACTCTTCACATCCTAAACATTAGAAAGCACCTGAAGAAATCCCCTCCATCCCCCGGCATGAGGAGGCTCTGTGGCTGTTGGTTTCAGATTGAGACAGAACGAAGGCAGCAAAAGAGTGGACAGCAGCAAATATTTTGGGGATAAATTCATGGTGCACGGTCTTGCCGGTCTCAACAGCCAGCATGGCTCAAGAACAGCAGAGGCAACACATCTCAACCTTTCAACCCATCTCAGGAAAATATTCCCAGATAGGGTCCCAGCCCAGAGGAGAACTGGGTTTCACTATAGGTGTAAGGAAAGCTCCTGAACTCTTCCTCACCTTCACAGCTTAATAGACAGAAGAACGTTCTGAGCTTAATTTGTCAAACCAGCAGCAGAAACAGTGATGCCTGAGCTCTCAGTCCAGCCCTGGTCACAAATCATTAACACAGTAATGAGATGGGAAGGAAATCTTTGATGGGAATTGCCAGCAACAAATTAATAGAAGCCATTATCTGCTCTCAAATATTATGTAGACAAAGTGCCTACATCTGGCTGAGACATTAGATCCAAAGACGAGTTTAACTTGCTTTACGCTTAGCACATCGTTTCTCTAGGGCATTTTATTAATGTCCTGCAACCTCAGTGTCCAGAGAGGAACAAAAACCAACTGACAGAAGCTCTGGCAAAAATATTTTCCAGCCTAGAAGAACCAGCTTAGGTGAATGCCTGCACAGGAACGTGAAGGAGAGAAACACTTACTTGGTATAGAATGCCACAAACTTCAGCTCATCTAAATCTCCCTGAATGACAACGTCATCAAATCCTTCCCCGTGGCCTGGAAGGTAGAGAAGCAGTGGATTCAGCAACAATTCCCCTGGATCTATCTCTAGCCTCTGAGACAGTGTTTCAATCCAGAGCTACGCGAAGAGCATCCTGCAGTCACCAAGAGACCAGCACCAGAAGAGGAGGGTACCAAAAAGCACTCCTCCTTGTTCAGAGAAGTGCAAGTTCAGGGAGACTGTCTCTGTTCATGCTGGGCCATCCCTCGTGCCCACAGCCATCCCTCTGGCCCTGGACCCCACAGCCGTGATCAGACTGGTTTTGGAAGAGATGCTAAAAGCCTCAGGAGCCCGGGAAGCACGCTCGAGGCAGAGGTTGGCCTGGAGGGTCCACAGCAAGGGAGATGGCTGCGGCTTCTCTATCCCAGGACATCTCCACCAGCATAAACTCTACAGCAACCTTGGGGAGCCCCTTACCCGCATATCGGATGCTCTTCCCGAACACAGCAGTCCACAAATATGGGACCGTGCTGATCTCCATGCCATGAGCCAGCATGTTCAGCGCAGCTATACGGCCTGGAAGAGAGAAGCAGCAGAATAAGTGAGGGAGCTCCATGCTGGGGCGAGCGTTGTGGTCTGCCCTCAGGTTGCAGCACAGCGTCAACATCTCTAGTCCCAGAGTAGAGGGAAACCAAGAGCTTCAGCCCATGCAGCAACAAGCACCCACAAGGAAATGCATCGCGTCACCCGAGGCTGGGCTCAGACTCCCCCCCAGCACGGCAGCTCTGCCAGCACGTCACCTCCACTGTCACGAGAGACATGCTCATGAGCCTGTTGCAACCCAACTTCTCCAACAGGGACAGGGCTGAGAGCTTTCGGAGCTCCCACTGCGGACGGGAGTGGGATGGATAAACCCCCCCGAGGGCATGGAGACACTTTGGGTACAGTCGCTGCCACAGAGGCACGTCTGGATGAGCATTAAAGGGGGCTGCGTCCAAGGGCTAACTTTGGAGGTATAGTTTCAAAACCTCTCACCCAGGGCACCCACCCAGAGATCAACCTCCTCACAGGGTTGTGGCCTTGGGAAGCCCTAGGGCAGCTGATCACACCAGGTCTTCCAGGCTTGCTGGTGTGAAGGGGAGAAAGCACTGCGACATGCTCCTGGGCCAGCCTGGCAGCGTGGGCAGCCCGGCTGGGGATGTGAGCTCGAGCTAAAATGTCCCGGGGCAAGGAGAGGCTCAGGCTCCTGCAGCAACTGCAGATGCCAGGGAGCACGTGGCACATGGGAAAGCCTGTCCCTCTGTGTTTGTAACGAGGCATCGTTAGGAACGTACGTCAAGAAGGCTGACGAACAAAGGTACATCAGACAGAATAAAATATACATGCTTTAAAATGTTTAATACAACTCCCCAGTTTCCTCGTTGGCAGTTGTCTCATTCTCTCACTAGAGGGCTTGGAAATTTCCTGAGGATCTGGAAAGGGCTCTTTTCTGTAAGCGATTTGCTGTTGCAAAGTGAAGGGACTGAAAAGCACCTACCATGCATATGAGCCATCTGCCAGTGAGGGACGTTCACCTTCTTATTATTCCTCAAGGCCAGCGGGAACATGACAGCATCACCAGCTGCAAAGACCCCGGGGATATTGGTTTGCATCATCTGCAGGAGGGAAGCAGAAGTGCGCGTTGGTGGAGTTTGCACCCTACGTGAACAGAAACAGGGAACGGCTCTAGAGCTGTCACAGTCCCCAGGAACACATGGACAACCTCTGCTCAGCTCTGGGACCCCCAGCTGGGATTTGATTTAGCGTTCTTCGCTTTCAAAGCAGACCACGCAGGCAGCGACCGTGCAGAGTCCCTCTGCCAGTGGGTTACTTGGTGAAGAGAGACACGGACGGGTGTCCTGGAGCCCTTCTTACAAGACAGGGATCTGTCAGTGTTTGCAAATAGAGCCTGGCTTATTGCACACATGAGCAATAAGTGCAGGGGTGGGCAGCAATGATCCCCAGCCCACCCGACGTGCTTCTCGCTCGTGACACCCACCAGCACTACCACCACTCCCATCGGAGTCACTGATGGTGGGGGGGAGAGGTGAGATCCTTTATGATCCTCGAAAAGGTGGATCTTTCTCCATTTCTTTCCCCCCCAAAAACATCCACACCATTCCAGGGCAGCTCAGAGCCGGGCCCAAGCCACAGCATCCAGGACTGGGATTTGCAAACCCCTCCCTTGCAGGGGGGTCCCAGGAGCTCCAGCGTGTTGCTCCCAGGATCTCAGCGGATGAAATGCCCCTGCGACAGCAGTTTGGAGCCCCAGGGAAGCTCTCCCCCCCTGGCAGGGGCTGCCCCCCGCGCTCACCTTGTTGACCACGATGAAGCCTTTGGAGTCGATGTTGATGCCACTCTGCTTGAGAAAGCCTGTCGCTGGGACTGCGCCTGCAGCAGAAGGCAAGGGCTGGCAGTGCTGTAGCCAGCCATCCCCGCAGCCCCAGGGGGCTGACCCCGAGGCCAGGAGATCTAACCCCTTCCCACGCAACCCATCTGCCCCAAGGGAGAGGCAGCGGGCTGCCCCGGGGGTGGGGAGCAGGGCCAGGCACCCTGCAGAACCCCCACTACTCCCACTGCATCACACTCCGCACCCCCAGGGTCCGTACCACTCCCCACGCCACCAGTGCGTCGCTGTATTCTGCCCACCATCTTTTTATAATGCCTGAAGATAATTTTCGATCCACTTCTCTTTTATAGATATTTTGAAAAACATATATTTAAAAGGGAGCCCTCAGGTTTCCAGACAGGGCTCCTCTACCACCCCGCCACAAGCTGTACATTTTCTTTGGCTTTCGTTTTCCTTTCTTGGTATTTTTTTTTTTCCTCTAGCCTTCACAAATCAGAGCAGTCAATAAAACAACAAAAGCAGAATTAAACGAATTCTGTGGTCCTTCCTGTCCGTAACATTTAGAAAAATTACAGCATGAGAAACGGATTTTTATTTCCTCCAAGTATAAAGGATAAAAATATACTCTTCTATGGTAGTGGCAGCAATGAAAAGAAAAAAAAAAAAAAAAGAGAGGAAAAAATTCAGTTTGGGGAGGCTTTTAAAAAAAACAAATCGAGAAGATGAAATTGGTTGGAAGGGTTTTTTTTTCCTGGAAAAAACAAGATCATTACTCTTTTCCAAATATATTTTCAGTTGCGTTTTGGGGTGGAGGCTCTAAAAAGGCCTTTTTCAGCTTTGCTGCGCAGACTCCCGTGTGGCAGCTGAGCGGGGCTGGCACATCACCACCAGCACCCTCAGCTACCTGGCCCTGGGGACCCGTCACTGCCACGTCCCCTCCTGCTTCTCCTGCGCCGAGCAAAGCACGGCCAGCCCCCCGCCCCCCCAGCGCCGGCCCCTTACCGACACCGACGACACACACGTCGGCACGCAGGACCTTCCCGCTCTTCAGCACCACCTCCTTCAGCTGCGTTAGACACAGTGGGGCAGCACGGTTATTTGAGGGACAACGCTCCCACACCGGAGCAGCAGTAAGCCAAGCTGGCAGCTCGCTTCATTTTTGACATCCAAATTGACCATAATTCCTTATACAAGCAGCAGGGAAGGGGTGGGAGCAATGCAACCAGCCCACACGCCACGCTGGAGTATGTTTGCTCCCGGGAGCTAAATCCAGGAATACAAATTTCAGGGGCCAGGAAAGAACAGAGGGCAAAGCCCCAGCGGCGAAGGGAAGGGCAGCGTGGGGGGCGATGCCACGGCGGTGTCCCGGGGAGCCCTTGCCCACAGCCTACCTTGCCCTCCTGCTCCCGCAGCTCTGACACCTCTGTCTGCATGTAGAACTTCACCCTGTTGCTCTCAAACATCTGGAGGGGGGACACGGGACAGAGCAGGAGACATCAGGATCCTGAACCAGCCCTGCTCCTGGTGTCCCCGTGCCCCCCACTGCCCTGCCCACCCCCCGGGCTCGCCCCGACCCATGCTGCGAAGGGAGTCGGCACCACCTCCATCCCCAACGTGTGTCCAGAAGAAGGTGCTCTACAGCATGTGGACCATGAGAGGGAACAGCCCGTTCTTTCTTTCTAGCGACTGCTACCACCACAGCTTAATCAATAAACACCAAATAACAAATCAGGGCAATAAGTGAATCAAGCAGAACCCGCGCGGTCACTAAAACCAACCCATGGATGGGAAAACGAGGTCACCTTCATGACAGCACGGCCAACCCTCTCCCCAAGGAACTTCTTGAAGGGGACTTCCTCCAGCTCCACCAGGGACACGGAGTGGGCCCTCTCCGCGAGGTAGCCGGCCACCTCCATCCCTGGGAAACAGAAGCAGGTCTGAGCGGCCATGGGAACCCCCCTGGAGCTGGCCACAGCGGAGGAGCAGCCTTGTCCTCTCCTGGCCCGGGAGGTTGGAGCTGCTCTACTGGGAGGTTTGGGATGTCACCAGACCAGGCGGCCACAAGGGGCCACACTATTTCAGGAGAGATTTATGATTTACGGTACTTTGTTCTTAGATACAGGTTTCGAAGACTGAAGGGAGGAACCGGCCGTCACGAAGTCCCCAAGAGCCCCGGGAAGCCACAGCACTTGGGGAAATGGCCCTCAGATGAGGGAAACCTTCCTCTTAGGGTTGGGACTGTCTCAGCAGAGGTGATGAGCTGCAGGCTGAAAACAGCCCTTGTGACCGTCTGTTTTCTCCAACCAGAACAGGAGAATTTTGGTGCTGGAAATAGCATGGGAACCTTCACCAAGACATTTTCTAACTATGGGGTTTTTTTTTGGAAACGGAGCTTTTTGATGACCTGCAGTTTGCAATTACTCCTCCACACACACACATGCTTTTCTGTAGGTGAGACTGATTGAACCACTAAAACAGGAAATTTTCTTAAGGAAGAAGATAAACAAATACCAAACATTTTATAACCAATTCCTTCACTAATAGCCATTTATGCTTAAGGCTTGCAGAAACCACAATAATTTTGTTAGAACCGTATCAAGCAAAAAGAACCATAAAATTTTTCCTGTGTATTTTAAAAATTCGCCACCCTGCTAAAAAGTAAGAGAGAAATAAACCCTCAGGCTTCCACCTACCAACAAGACCCTCCTAACTGGGGCCAAATTTAGACACACCAGATTTGCAATCGTCCAAGCATCAGTACTGGACTTGCCCGGTATGCTTTCCAGACTGGGACGGCAATATCTAAGTCTGTGTAAGCTGAACAGCCCAGCCTCTTCAGTAAAATCAGTTTCTTCAGCAGGGAGCTATCCTTACCACCCACTCGGAGCTGGAGGTTGGACTATCCCGAGGTCCAGTTTGAGGGGGGGTTACCTCTAACTGGGCAGTGACAAACTGGGGGAGTCACTGGGACCATCTGCAGGAAGACGTGGACGGCCGGGGCGCAGAGCGAGCGCTCACCCAGGAAGGACGCTCCCACGATAACCACATTCTTGCTTGTGGCCAGTTTCACGACACGGTTGGCATCTTCAGGTGTCCGGATGTTGAAAACATTTTCCACCTCCTTGCCTTTGCAGCTGAGAGCTTTAGGTCTGAAAAACACACATCGAAGGTGCTTTTCTTAACCCTGCGGTGGCAAGTGGAACTGCAGACCCACTTTCCAGCAGCATCCCAGCCTTTCCTTTTTTTTCCACCTGTCTCTGGGCTGGAGGCATAACGCGGAAAAACCCGAATGGGGATGGAGAGCGGCCGGAGCGCCCCGGCGAACGCCGGCGTGGCAGGGGCTGCTCCCACGGGGCTGGGGCGAGCTCCCTTCCCGGGCAGCGCAGCACAGCGCAGGGCGGGCGCTGCTCTGCGAGCTCGGGCACGGCGCAAAATTTTCCGAAGCTTAATGGGACCCAGAAAACTCACCCGGTCCTCCAGCAGACACTTTGGAGCCAGGTACTGAAAGGTTTCATAAGCCTCTGCAGATGCAGGTTCCACTGTCCGTTCCCAGGGGCACGCTGCTGATGCTGTAGCAGTTTAATCTCGTCCCCCCCATGCACACACTGGAGCCTATATATTTTTAAATATCTGTCCCATGCATACCCGACTCACATCTGGAAATGGGACAGACCGTCCTGAAAAATTTAGGTACCTTAAAGACATTTATCTGGAGCTTGTGCATAAGGATTCTGAAATGATTGCCGAAGGCTCAATCCCCTTTTGAACCTAATTAGGTGGCTGGTGCTGACGGCGTTTGGGCTGCAGCACTGCCCACCCCAGCACCAGCCGTTAGCACTTGGTGGGGCTGTGGCTGTTACCGGTGGCACACCGAGTCCCTGCTCCAGCTGTTCAGCAGCATCCCTTCCCCAGACAATAAATTTGGCAGGAGCTGCATTTCTCCTATTTCATTTTGTGCCTTTGTGTTAGGAGCTCAAGGAAAGGCCGCCGGGATGCCTCATTTTCATTTTAAAGTGCCAATTTTGACAAATTCCCTATTGGAAACAAACTGACCCGCTACTTCCAGGGCGCTAGGGACAACGCAGCTGTGCGGAGCAGGACAGGCACATCACTACTGCCTTTCCTGGAGCAGGTTTCAGTCTTGAAAACTGCCCTCTTGGGGGCAAGCCTCACAAAGGGACCTGCTAGGCTGGGGCAACAGCAACACCTCATTAAAGCTGCAATAGAGAAACATTAAGCTTTCATTGTTGAGAAAAATCTTAAAGGTTGGCAGGAAACAAAAGATGAAAATTCAGATAGATGAATTACCTGATTGTCAGGGTTGAGTATTACTGAAGGGTGAAAAGAAGAGCAACGTGGTAAAAATTGCCTCTAACAAAAATTCAGGGTACTTCCATTTTGGAGGCTTTTGCTAAAGAAAATATGTTCAAGTTCCTGGGCATTAATTTTAATATTGAAAGACGATGAACGCAGGGGGAATATCCTGAGTTTCTCCCACATACTCTTGAGCCAGCCCACATGGAACAGCACAGCGTTAGGGTGCTGCCAGCAAATTCCTCGGCCTTTTTAAATCTCCATTTTCCATCAGTTTCTTTAACAGCAAGCAACACGCACACCCTGACTGCTTCAGTGGGTACTTTTTGTTAATACCCTTTGGCCTTTGACACTGACCCCAGGTATCAAATCCCTCAGCCATTCTGCCAGCCCCCACGGCTGGTGGTTACCTGCTCTCTGCGTGACTCTGGGGTGACACAAGCTTTTCAGCTTTGGCTGAGCAGCCATACCCAGCACAACTTTGTAGAGGCAGAGATATAGATAGATATGATATAGATATAGACATAAATATAGATATATAGAGACGTATTCTATAGGTGTTCCTTGCCTTTTCTGCGAACACTCTTGCAAACAAATTCAGTGTCCAAATTCAACCGCTATATTTGACCCCTTATCCCTAGGCACAAGCTCCTCACATTCTCAGATAAAAGGGTTTCTCTTGATCTGTAAAATACTTATAGCTTACGTGTTTCCAGTCGCTATCAGCAGCTTGTTGTATTCCATCTTAAATCCATCCTTGAACACCGCTGTCTTGTTCTTGATATCCACAGCCGCAACCTGAAATCATTCCTAAATAACATTAAGAGAAGAAATCCCAGATGCTCACTGAGCTCCCAGCCCAACCAACTCGTCTGTTAGGTTTTCGTCTCCTGTGCTCCTGCCCACAGCTTAGCCAACCCAGACCTTAAATATTCCTAGTTGCCTTTTCACAGATCCTTGAAGATCTCCCAGAATAAATAAAATAATGGGGATAAATGTTTAAACCATCACTGTCTGCACTGCTAGCAGGCTGGTTATCCTGATCAGAGGCCAGTTGGTCACCCCAGATCCACGTGAGGACACTCGCAAACGGCAGGTAAGAAATGATGGTCACAACTGAGTTTGTCCTTCCTGCCAGGGGAGGAATTGCATTAACTGTGGTTTTGAACAACCACAGGCAACCTGCGCTCTGGGGCATAAAATGGGGAGAGGGGCTGCAGGAGACATTTCTGCAACGGCATCCAGTGAGCCAAGAACAGAGACAGCTGCTGCATTTCCTAAACACAGCCTTTGCCTACCAGAACTTGCTGAAGATGGCCTGCAGGTACACACAGGACTCTCCTTACCTGCATTTCAGTCAGGACTTCGATGTCGTAGGTGCAGAAGAACTCCTTGGGGCGCAGGGTGATCTGTTCCAGGTGGGAATCCATTGACTGCCAAAAAAAAAAAAAAAAAAAAAAAAAAAAAAAAGCCATTTTTCTGTCAACCGCTGTGGGTTGGACAGACAAGTGGAGAAATGCCTGTTACCAACTCAAGTCAGTGGTAGTCTGAAGCCAGTCCTTGTGGCGTGGGTTAAGAGTTGCTCTACTGGGGCTGGAATCAAAGCCTGCTCAAGTAAAAGTCATCACAAGATGCTGGACTGGGCGCTGGTTCCTCCTCTGCCCACTCGGTGTGGGGGTGGCACTGCCCAGCCTAGGCAGGACCACAACAAGTGCTCCCGAGTGCCTGAAAAGCAGCTCTAACTGCAGCTTCTCATAACACACACAGGCCCACAGGAGCAAAGGAAAAGCCCCGTTATTTGGAAAGCAATCAGTTGCTGTGGGAAACGGAAGCTAACAGAGCGATGAGAACAATCGGCATTAACACAGCAAGGGCAACACTTTCAAAAGCACCCAAGTTACACAGCACAAGTTCCCTCAAAAGCTGAAGCAGGGGCACGTGGCCCATATCTGCTCGTCTTTTGCTGTAAGATAAAGGTTCTTGCTCTTCCTAGCCTTCCCTGGCCACTTGGGTGAGACCTCCGTCATCTTTAAACACAGGGTTGAGCTCACATTCGAGCCCGAGTTCATCTGTCCTCCTACCTACGCGGACACGAGCTCAGACGCAGGCCAAGGACATGCCGAGCCCCAGGCGACCTGCGTGCAGGCTGCCCCGTGCTCCAGCCCATCGCTCCCTGCCGGCAGCGCAGGAGGGACGGGCACGGCCACGGCCACGGCACTGTCAAGCCCTGCAACGGATCACACGGTGCTGAGCAGCAGCAGCATCTACCCGTGCATCCACACAGGCATGGCGTTGGGGCTTGACCCAAGAGGGACGGGGGATGCTTGACCCAAGAGGGACGGGGGATGCTTGACCCAAGAGGGACAGGGGATGCTTGACCCAAGGGGGACGGGGGATGCTTGACCCAAGAGGGACGGGGGATGCTTGACCCAAGGGGGACGGGGGATGCTTGACCCAAGAGGGACGGGGGATGCTTGACCCAAGAGGGACGGGGGATGCTTGACCCAAGAGGGACGGGGGATGCTTGACCCAAGAGGGACGGGGGATGCTTGACCCAAGAGGGACGGGGGATGCTTGACCCAAGAGGGACAGGGGATGCTTGACCCAAGGGGGACGGGGGATGCTTGACCCAAGAGGGATGGGGGATGCTTGACCCAAGGGGGACGGGGGATGCTTGACCCAAGAGGGACGGGGGATGCTTGACCCAAGAGGGACGGGGGATGCTTGACCCAAGGGGGACGGGGGATGCTTGACCCAAGAGGGACGGGGGATGCCGGAGTCAAGGGCTTCACCATCTGCCCCCGGGAATGGGCGTGCGAGGTCCTTCTCCCTGGAAGCGGCTGGGATGAGCCCTGCAGGACATTCCCTTACCCCGTGGCTTCAGGTAACACCGTGCTCAGAAGAGAGCCTTATCTTAGGACTTGAGGCAGGTGCAGGGTCATACAGGTTTTACTGCAAAATTCTTTAAACGCCCCGTGTTTACAGAGAGGGATGTCTGAGCCCACGGCTCGGGAGCAGCGGCCCCACGTCGCTGTGCAGGGAGGGCGGCAGCAGAACAGTGCACAATCAGCACAGGTTTTGCTGCTGCTCAGTGCTCCGGGGACTGTAACAGGGGTGTTGCAGCACACCAGGGAGCAGGTCATGGTCCAAAGGGGACCAAGAGAAACTGTCCGGCAGGACCTATTGATAACAGGTGCTCAGCAAGGCAGAGGAAGGGCAACGCTGCAATTTCAGGAGGCAAGAAATCTGCTGCTTACAGCTTTACATGCTCCTCCTCTAATGACTCTTTCCAGGGTTAATCCCACTAAGAAAAATCCCTTGTTCTAACCTGTTCCCCAAAATTCTGCCTTCTCTTCCAGGGGCTTTGTGCACCAAAAAAAACTGCAGTCAAAGGTGTTTAGTGGAGAGTTTAACAAACCATGCATAACATCTCTGGCATGTGAGGTGTCCTTACTATTTAACAGAGAGTAGATAAGGCAGTTTAAGACTCACAGGGTGGGGATAAGTGTTTTGGAGAGCTGCCTGACTGGGACAGGGACTGTGAGATTCTCTGAGCTCCCCAGCACAACTTCTGTGAGTCCTGGATGCAGGTTTCAGCCAGCTGCTCCTCATCTCAAACAGGTCTCGTCCAAGCACAGAAATGGCTTGAACGGTCTCAAAAAGCCACATGTATATTTGCCTTCCTTTGAAAATCCGTTTGCCTTGGGGCTGGAAGCCGAGTTAGATGCTGTGATTGTAGAGTACCAGCCCCCATAGATAAGCATCCCCGACATAAAGGGGAATACATGTACCCCCTGTTCTTGTGTTATCTCCAAGCTTCAAGATCAAATTCTACTGTCCAACCGGAGTTGCTGTCTGGTATCAAGTAAGGCTCAGGAATCAGTAATAAAAAATGTGATTAGAAGATTGTCCTGTGTCCACAAATTGGAATGCAAAATGGAATGTATGCCAGAAAAAGTGATCTTTGCACTGCCATCAAGTTACCAAGTTGTGATGATGACTGATAATCATACTAATTACGGCATGGAGCATCACTGGGCAGTAAGAACCATGCATTAATAAAAAACTTGGTAGACACGACAATTTTTTTACATGCCCCGTTCCATTGCCCTAAAGATTTTGATCTGGAAACATAATAAGAAGATCTGTCCAGGTATGAGCTGGCCAAGACAGCTATTGCTAGACCTGTAAAGAATGCCCTTGTTCCTGTGCTGGCATGCTCTTAGTTCAGAGTTTGAACAACTCCTCTTTTGTGTTTCATGTTTCAGTCACCAACAGAAAAGAAAATTCAAGGGAAAAGAGAGACGGGACAAATAAGAAAGAATAAACATGCTGCTGCAATGAGTAGTAACAATGGGGAAATTTCCTAGGGCAAATTTTAAAACTGGGGAGGAATGTGACATACCCAAAGTGATACAAACCTTGCTGAGCTTTGGTCTGTCGTAGGGCAAGTGTCTGTCCATCGTGCACATCACAATCCTGTCCGAGAAACCCTCCTGGCGCAAGGTCTCTGCACAGACCAGTCCAGCTGCCCCTAAGGGAGAAGGAAGGCCGGCGGCAGCCATGCGTATGGGGCACTGGAAGGTCTGAACCCTTTGTTCCTAAACTCCACTGGGGCTGACTCCAAAATCACCATCTCCACTAGCCCTGGCCTTACTTCGTGGCCCTTCCCAAGTCAGACAGCTTGCACGGGAAGCCGGTCGGGGGGGACGCACCAGGCAGGAGCAGGGACTCTGAGGAGCGCGACAGCAATCCTCTGCAGGACTTGTCTGTCCCTCAACTCAGACAAACCCCCAAAGAGCACACCTGAGGAGTGCTGCCAACACATACACACCCCCCACGAGCTCAGGGGCACGGGTGGCCACTTACTCGGACCCTTGCACTCCCCTAGTTGGGAAAGGGTCTTGCACCTTCCTCTTGGCACACTCAGCTCCTGGTGAATTTACAGCCAAGCACAGAGGGCAGGGAGTCCTCCCTTCTTCACAGCTGAAGTGTTGGTAGTGTGCTTCACTGTAGAGGATCTTGCACACAATTTCTCTGAGATTTTTTTTGTTTTGTTTTGTTTGCTTGTTTTTAAACACAGAAAAAAGGCTAACTCAAACAAAAAACTGCCTTGGGTCGTGTTGTCCCCCCGCATCCAGGCAGGCTGATGGGCATGTCCCTCCTTCCCTGGCCAAACTGGTGAGACTTGAGAGCTCGAGTTGAGAACTCCCGAGTCTCTTCTCAATCAAGGAAGCCTTGCTCCGTGATGAGTGTTGTAAGGGCCATGGTTTCTGCAAAACCAATGAAAGAAGATGGATCTGGACAGTACCATGGTTTAGTCTGTTATCAAAACGCTCCTGTTGATGGAGGCGGAGGATAGTGGAAGAAGAGGCAGGTGGGTGGACATCCCATGCACGCTGCCTGGCACATGCTGAGCCAGGGTTGACACTGCACTGATGCCAGAATGACCCTTCCATGAGCAAGGGGCTGTGGTCACTTGTCCTCAGCTCTGCTGGGCATGGCTGGATCTTGGTCCTCAATTCAGGGGTGGATAGGAAGTCTCTTCCCAATGCTTCTTCCTCACAACCCCAGCTTTGAAATCTCTCTTCCCATCCACCAGAACAGACTTTGGTCTTTAATAGACCTGTGAATTTAGGTGGTCAAGCCTGAGAAAGTTCCGTCAGCAACGGCCTGTGGAATGACCTTGCTGAGGATTTGGATGACTGTCTAGCCCTGCTGCACATGAGGACAGCCCGTCTGACCTTTGGGAGCAGCAGTGTCACACCCTGGCTTTCGGTCAACAAAAGGCAGGGGCCCAAGAAAGGGAAAAATGTTACCCAGCAGTGAGGGAAAAGCCAGCCAGGCTGGTTTCCCCCTTTGCTCAGGCTGCAAGCTGCAACTTAGATGGCAGGAGCAGGAGATCGCAGCGTGTTCCCCATTTCCACAGCCTGGATCTGGTTCCCTCCCACCCCTGGGTTCAACACTGGACAGCTTGCATCCTTTTCCCACCCTCCATTTCACCATGACATGGTCCAGTCTAGCGTCCAACCTATTCCAGAAACAGGCAAACCTAGCAGATGGGATTCACTCCATCATGCTTTCTACAAAAATTGCATTACACAAATGGAGATGGGGCAAGAGATAAGAAAAGATAGCTTGGCAATTTTGCTATTTCATGCAGGGATTTGATATTTTCTGGGAAGATGGAAGAATTTATCTTCAGAGAAGAACCTTGAGGTGGTTTGTTGCTGCAGACAGCTGCAACGGGATGAGACAGAGATGTGCAGGCTCCAAGGGGAAAAGGTGTATCCCCATCACAGGAACACGTAAGAGGACTTCACATTTATCAGTTGTGGAAATCAGGGGTTACTGATGTATCTGGGGAGGATGTAGAGTGGAGAGGGTTCAAGGCACCCACTACAAAGAACTGTGACAGGGAACTACAAAGCTCCAAAGAGCACAGGCATGGGGCACCTTTGGACCATTACTGTGTAAGACAAAAAGGCTCAGGAAGCCCCTCTGGTCTGACCCTTTGCACAGGGAGGGACGCAGGAGGGGTGACAGGGGTTCCACGGCACACAGACACCCTGCTCTCCTCACACCTGCCCGGGAGGGGACACAGACGGCAGTCCCAGCACCCAATACCTGCACCGATGATCAGCACGTTGGTACTGCTCAGGTTATAGTTGCTCAGGGAGATGCACTTCGCCATCATCTTTGTCCTCCTCTGTGTCTGAAGAGCCTATGCCACCACCAACAAGAAGAAAAGTCATTATCTTGTCTCAGCTTTAACCTGGGTATCCAGGCAGGAATAGGGACAACTACACTATTGCCATAAAACAGCTTGGATAGGAAGGGAACAACTGTGCCCTTGTACCCAACGAGGACTCCAAACTCATGCTCAACTAAATACCTTTCCACCATCCGGTGCACTACACCCTACAAAAGAAAAATAAATCCACCATCTTCTGCAAATTCATCCAGGTACACAAAGCTGGGGGAAAAACAAAATAATAGAAAAAGCAGCCCAGGTGTGTCATTGTACAATTCTGCAACCAAGGGGTTAAATGGAAATGCAGAAGTTCTATCAGGAACTTTATACTGCACCTGAGCAGAGCTCTGATATCCAAAGAAGCTGATGGACTCGTCCAACCTACCAGAGTACACCTGTACCACTGTAACCCTGCTGCTCAGATCCCTGTTGCCAGCCAACAGAGGCCAAAATCTGTTTCTGGTAGAGGAAACCCTCCTCATCACATCCCACCTGAATCAGCTAGAGTAGAAGTGCTGCCTTTTAGGTGACCTCTCTGGATCTAACCCAAGTGCCGTAAGGGTCCAGATGGTTCCGGGCCGCTGGATTCACACACACATACATGCAAACGTGCATCAGAAGGAAAACGTGCTTTTCATGGAAAGAAAGATGGCAGTGTCCTGAACAGGCTTCATTCTGCATCCTATCTTGGGGGATGAAAGCCCTCCTTGCCCGCACACTAGGTTCCTCTCCAGCAAAAGGAGCTGATGTCTGGGCTCAAGAGGGAGCACAGATGACATCTGCCAACCCCATGACACATTCAGGCCTGGCATACAAGGCCAGAAGACTGGTGGAGGAGGCCTCTTTCCATGGGCCAACTAAACTTAAAAGTTGGTTTGAGCTTAAGGAAACACAGGACAAGGTCAGGACAAACACCTAGTAAGACCTCCTGAATCCATGGAAACCCCAGCTCAGGTGTCCAGCAGCTACAGAGGGGCTGGGGGAGCACAGGCAGGGTGGGAGGGGGACAACACCTCTGCCCTGCTCCACTTGTCCCTCCACATGAGCTTTGGGCTGCTTGCGGCAGGACTTAGCTAGGTGGACCTTTGATTTATCCACATCGGATGCTCATGCGTCTTTCTGTTCAGGCATCACTTCCTCTGACAGAGACCCCAAAGAAAAGCATTTCCCCCCACTCCCACGCACACAGAGCAAAAAGCAAAAGCACGGGCCTTGATTTTGGGATGCCCCTGGCCCCTCACCTGCTTGCTTGCTCGGATGTACACCTTCTCCTTCTCAATCTTCACCTGAGGGTGACAGAATAGCAGCGGTTTGCAGGACAGCACGTCCCTCCGGCATGAAGAGGGTGATTACTCCCTCTGTGCAACAGCTAACGAACAGAGCAGCAACCTCATAAGGTCTCCTACGAGAGCAGCTCAGGCCATGGCAGGGCTCACCCCAGCTCAAGGCTGTGAGATGTTTCCTGTCTCATATCAACTGTGCACTGGTGGTCAGTGTAAAACCTGATTTCTATCTCAGGCTTACGGCTGGTTTCTCAGTTCCACCTTACGCCTGCTCAAGACACCTCCCAGACAGTGCACCCCCACCCTCAGGCTCCCCGGAGGTGTCTGATGCCCACGGCTGGATGCAAGGGGAGCTGAAGGGAGGAAAGAGAGCTGGGTGAGGTGCAGCTCTCCACTGGCCATCCCAGCATGTGCTTGGAAAATGTGCGTTCCATGCCTTCAAAGAACATGCTTATCCCAACACAAACAGCCATTTTGCAGATGACACCAAGGTGAGTGGTGCAGTTGCTACTCTAGAGGGAAGGGAAACCACCCAGGGGCACCAGGAACAAGCTCAGGAAGTGGGCCCATGTAAACCTCATGAAGTTCAACAAAGCCAAGGGCAGAGTCCTGCACCTAGGTTGGGGCAACCCCTGGTATCAGTACAGGCTGGGGGATGAAGGGCTTGAGAGCAGCCCCAAGGAGAGGGACTGGGGGGTACCGGTGGATGAAAAGCTGGACATGAGCTGGCACCGTGCGCTGGCAGCCCAGAACCCCCCCGTGCCCTGGGCTGCAGCCAGAGCAGGGGGGGCAGCAGGGCCAGGGAGGGGATTCTCCCCCTCTGCTCCGCTCTGGGGAGACCCCCCTGCAGTGCTGGGGCCAGCTCGGGGGCCCCTGACATCAGAAGGACCCGGAGCTGCTCGAGCGGGGCCAGAGGAGGCCACGGAGATGCTGGGGGGGCTGGAGCAGCTCCCCTGGGGGGCCGGGCTGAGAGAGTTGGGGGGGTTCAGCCTGGAGAAGAGAAGGATCTGGGGAGCCCTTCAAGCGGCCTCCCAGGGCTTAAAGGGGGGACAGGAGAGGTGGGGGGGGACTCTGGATCAGGGGGTGTGGGGATAGGATGAGGGGTAATAGTTTTAAACTGAAAAAAACGTAGATTTAGATTGGACACAAAGAAGAAATGTTTTACAATGAGGGTGGTGAGGCACTGGCACAGGTTGCCCAGAGAAGGTGTGGATGCCCCATCCCTGGAAGTGTTCAAGGTCAGGCTGGACGGGGCTTTGAGCAACATGACCTGGAGAAAAATGTCCCTGCCCACAGCAGGGTGGCTAGACTAAGTGATCTTTAAAGGTCCCTTCCGACCCAAACCGTGCCGTGATTCTGTGATTTCCTCTGCTGCTGCAAGAACGAAGGTCTCACCTGGAACCTGGCTAAACTGTCCAAGCCAGGAAAGTCCTCTATGTCACCTGTGCCGATGTTGAAGCAAGCTCCATGCCAGGGACAGCGGACTCTTCCTTTGGACAAAACCCCTGCAGGAAACAGGGCAGAGCAGAGTTGGTGCTGCCCCACGGCTGCCTCCCATCCCTGCCTGCAGCCTGCAGATCCAGCTGCCGTGACCTGGCCAGCGCAGGGGTGCCAGAGGCAGGTCTCCCTCCTCCTGTCCCAGTGATGGTGGACTCTGCTTCCTCCCAACGTGAACATCACTGCTGGGCGAGGCTGCCCTCCTGAAGGCTGAAGGGTGCTGCCCGGAGCCTCCTGCAGCAGCAGGAGCTGCGCTGCTCCACGCAGAGCACCTTCAAAGTTCAGGCTCCGTGAGCAGGTCCCCATGACACTCCTTTACCTAGAGGTGTCACCTCTCCTTCAGGACACATGGCAGCTGTTGTGGACCTGGATGGTCAACAGCATCTTGGCTACCTGATGTGGAGTTCCCTTAACTTGCACATGGGACTTGTCCAGACATTTGGGATAAAGGGTGAACACAGTCACCTACTGGGATCCTGTAGGAGGGATCCCATCTAAAATGCCCTCACTGACAGTGCCCTTCCAGCACCTCTGAGCACAGCTCCAAAGCTGTCTGCTCTGCTTGGAATATAATCTCACCCTCCAGCAGGGCCTGAGGCTGCAGTCTCCAAGGTTTTGTAGTCACCTTCGCAAGCCCCAGTAGCACCCAGAGCAAGCAGTGCCTCAAGCAGAGCATCACTCATTTAGAGCAAGCGTGTCTCAGAGCAGATCTTGACACTGCAAGGAGCCTGCACACCGCCAGGAAAGCACGAGGCATGCCCAAAGCCATGAGTTCAGTCCTCACAAGTGTTTGCTCAGAGGCTGCTACCTTGGACTTTGGCTTTCCCTGCCTGAAAGAGCTGGGTCACACCACCGGGGCAGAGCGAACAGCTACGATTTGGCCACCTCTCACTGGTCCTGAGCTTGGACCTTCACTTGCTGAGGACCAGCAGTGCCACGTCTCACCACCCACCACACGTGGAGTTGCAGGCGCAGCCCTTGCGCTCAATTCTGCAGCAAATCCTACATTCCCCAGCAAGGTATCTCCCCTGTGTGAGCAGCCAGTCTCAGGGATGTGCCCGCAGGTCTCTGCATGGCAGGCAGGCTCTCACCCCTGTTGGCCACCCGAGCAGCGTGGGGCTCTTGTGCCCTGCTCGGCAGGCTGCTAGCCCCAGGCGAGGGGCTGAGAGCAGGGCTGCCTGCACCCAGCACTGCTGCTGGGCCAGCAATGCCCAGAGGGCACTCAGCACGATGCTCTGCTGTGCTCCCCAGGATCCCACCTCCTGCAAAGTGTCCCTTGCCCCCCAGTTTGGGTGACACTCTCCTCCAGCACGCAGGCGGGCCAGTACTGCCTGCTGCCATTACTCAGACTCCGGGTGGGGACCTGCCTGAAGCCTGTGCTGAGGAAATGCCAGAATGCATATTTTTAAGTGCCAAGATGGGAAACCATTTTACTGCAACCCACTTCAATCTGTAACACCAGCAACATTTCTTTTTGCTACTGAAAGGATCCCATCAGCCCAAAGAGCTTCCTCCTTCCCCCACAAACAGGATTTTGATTTACATGGAGTTGTGGTTTTGTGGGTTTCTTTAAGACTCAGTGGCCTGAAAAATCATAAGGTGATTTTTTTTTTTTCCTTCTAAGACATTCTTTTAACTCCTCTTTGGCTGGGATCTGATAAACAGAACAATATGAAAAGCCCCATAACACCAGGTTTTGCGTGGGGATAGTGAGCTCTAGCTGTTTTGTACCATCCAAGAGAGGTTCAGCACCAGCTGAAGAATGAAACGGAATCCGAATTTAATGGTTCCCATGCCATTTTGTTCTGCAATGTCACCCAAAGAAGCCCCAGCCCTGTGACCAGCAGTAGCAAGCTGGGGTCACCAGCAAACCAGACCTGTAGTAAAGTGCTCCCAGGAGGTTTGTGCCCCCCCAGCTTTCTGCCCGTGCCTTCCTGCAGTGAGAAGATGCCAAGGTGATGCTGAGTGTGCGGCATGGCACTGCCCCGTGCTAGGCAGCACAGCCATGTGAACTCCAGGCTGTCTTTTGCCAACACTCTGATGGCCTTGGTTAGTCTCCTAGGATGTGATGCAGACTGACCTTTGACCAGCGGAGCCCCATAGTGGGGACACTTGTGTCCCACGGCGTGGAACTCGCCGTTCTCCTTGATGAGCAGAGCCTTCCCGCAGCCCAGGTCCACTTCCCGCATCCTGGGGAGGAGGAGCACAGAAAACCCGTGGCAGAGCATCCACCTGGCAGCAGATGCCATCCCACCGCCCCGCATCCCAGCCCTGGTTCCACCAGGCTCCCCCCCCTCCTTCAACTGGTTCACCATCAGCTACAAGTGACTTACGGGTGTGGGTCACTACTGTCACCAAGCCACCTTTGGGGTGGTTCTACTGCTTCCAGCCTGGGGCACATCCAAGCTGAGCCACTGAATGGCAGCTTCTTCCTCTGTCCCTGGGCCAAGAGGTGGCCCAAACCACCTCTCCAGCCATTCGGGAAGGGGCTGGTGGTCTCCACTCAAGTCCGGGGGGGGGGGTTAGAATAAAGCTTTTCAGCACATAGTGGGAGCAAGAAACCAAACTGGTTTTACTGCAACATCACCTCCCTTCCTGGCCTCAGGAGCTCAGCAGGTCCCTGCCAGGCTTGTGTTCACTCACTCAAAGCAAACGCATTTCTGAGACTTGAAAATCAGGAGAAGCAATTCTGACCCTTTGCATACTCCAGCCTTGGGGTCTGTCTCCCTGTGCCTCAGGGGGTCGTGCTCTGGTCCTGGACACATCCCAGGGTCAACAACACGGGTCATTTTTTCCCCGATAAAACCCTCAGGATAGCAGACACCTACATGTGACCTCCTTGCTGTTTCCCTCAGTTGTTTTCGCAGAGCAAAGCTCACACAGTGACCTCCCGCCTGCTCTGGGCTGCTGGCCCCAGCAGCTCTGCCTCTCAGAGGGGCTTTGCCTCCCTGCCGCTGCTGGCACTCAGGCCTTCCTTGGCACAGGAGCCAGCTTAACCCCCCAGCCTCTCACCCAGAGAGGTTCAGGTGCTACTTGAAAGACCACAGCTGCTTGTGCGGTACCCTGGACAAAAGCGAGATTAGCACAGTATGAAGCCTTTACACAAAAAGCTTTGCAGTTTTCAGGCTCTCTGGGTCACACCTGCTCGCAATCACCTGGTCCTTGCCCAGCCAAGCCAGGCTGGGGTCCCAGCCACCCCTGTCCTGGCCAAAAGTATCTCTTAGCTGATCATCCACCTTGTCTGCAGAGATAAAAAGAGCTACTGAGCACCCCCATCTGCTGAATGAGTGATTAATGATGCCGTTAGTGCTGGAAAGCAGCATTTCAGAAAATCCTTTCTAACTCCCTTGGCTTGACTGGGAGGAGATCTGCAGCCCTCCGGCTCAGCAGGGCTGTGCTGAGGGATACATCCCTCTGCACCAGCTGCAGTGTGGGTGCAGCATCCCTGAAGAGTGGGTGCATTTGCCCACAGCAGCCATCTGCCCAGGTGCCTCCCCAGTGCCCAGTGCCACTCAGCCAGCTCTGCTCTGTTACTCTGCTTGCTGGCCAGGCACAGGTTTTGTGATGCAGCTGCAACATGTGCTTTTATTTGCAAGAGTCTCCGAGCCCAGCACGTTACATTTGGTGGACCGAATACACCACTGTGCACACAGCTAACCCCGTGTGCTCAAGACTGGCCATGTGCGATCCCTGATGCTGCTCGTGCACGAGAAGGTCCCAGGGTCTCGGAAGAATGGGACTCACTTGGCATGCTCATTCCTCTTCCCAACTCTATCCCATCACTTGCACCCAGGCTAGAGAGACACTTGTCCTGCTCCCTGCTTCACAGCCATGGAGATGAGATGAGGGCTTAGTCCACCAGCACCCTTGCAACACCTTCAAACCCACTTTGGAAAAGTTTTCATGCAGGTGCCTGCTCCACCCACATCAACTGTCCCACTAGAGTAACAGCAAATGCTCAATTTCCTTGCCACCTCAGGTGAAAATAGCAGCAGAGCCCATCATGCCTGCTCCTGGAAGCTGTTTTGTCCCCGTAAATTGGCAGCCCCACTCTGGAGAGATGCAGCTCTGCTCCCTCCCCACGGAGGACACTTTGGCACTTGAAGGTCCTCCTGTCAGCACAGAGGGAGCAGAGCAGTACAGGTCCTACTGCATTCCTCAGTCGTGCAGTACTTCAGATAAAACCTGCAGTCAAATGACAGCCATAAGTCCATGGGAAGATAAGATAAGTGAAAGAGTTTACAACTTACCCAAGGAACTGTGTGATCTGAGAGAGTCAAAAACAAGACCTGGTGTCTTCAAGGCAGCACATAGACACCTGCGAGGCCCCCGATGCCACACTCACATCACAGCTAGCGAGAGGATGATTTACTCTGCACTGCTCCCCGCTGAGCTATTTACTCAGCTGGGAATTTGTCCTGTTGCCCCACTCCACTCCCCACTTGGGAAGCACCAGCTAAAACTCAGCTCTGGCCTGCAAAGCTCAAGAGCTGAGGAAGCACCGGGGCCTTTTTTCTGTCTGCAGCTCATTGGCCTCCCCCAGTTAGCCTGCTGGGAGGCTGGCTGGGTACAGCAGCAGCAGAGTTCAGCCTCCAGTATCTTTTACTAGTTCTGTTGAGACCATCTTTGTACCAGAAAGATAGAAAAGGTGGGCAGGAAGAGTACCTTGTGTTGCAGACTCCACTAACACAACACAGAGGTGCCCAAACCCTTGTGCCAGTGCCCCGAACTGCTGCTGTGTCCATGCACAACCCTGCCCAGCACACTCCTTGAGAGAAGCATCCCGGAAAGTCCCTCTGTGTATCAGAGCGAGAAGGGATTCCTTTGGTCTGGCCTGCTGCTTACACGAGACGCGGGAGCTTCTCAGCACTTCTCTTTTGAGCTAGACTCAGCCTGCTAGAAAAAAAAGCTATTCTCAACTTAAAATGTCCAGTGATGCCAAGTCTGCTGCTGTACTTGGTAGCACGTTTCAGTAACTGAATGCACACACGGTTGAAGCGTGAGCCCAGTTTCCAGAGTGATGCCAGTTTCTAGCCCTGGCTTTAGCTGAGGAGCTTTCTGCTACAGCTGCCTGCAGCCAGGCATGTGCTCCAGGGGGGCAGCCAGCTCCCTCCTCACCTTCTCTACGACCAGCAGAGCTCTTTGAATCTTTTTGCCTACTATACTGCACACTTTCAAGTAAATGTATCTATCGCAGTCCTAATTTGCCAATGTCCTGGGGCACTAAAGCAGAGCACGCTCATTTAGTAACACCCCGAACCCAAAGTCAGCAGAAGTCGCCTCTGGGAACACTTGGTGTTCAGCCATGCTGGTGCTCAGACCCCCTCTGTGCAACCAGTATTTCCCAGGACGGCCCCATCTCTTCGCTTCTCTCCTGCTCCAAGGCAAGCCCCGTCACTGCCCGTGCCCTGCCCCAGGCCCCTCTTCCCCAGCCTTGCCGTCGCTGCTCACCCGCGCGGGAGGCAGCGGGTTGCCCGTCGCCTCCCCGCAGCAGCCCTGCAGCCACCGTGCTCGCCTCCCAGGCTGGTGCACCTCTACGGGCTCCTCACCCTCACCTCGCACCAGAGGAGGCCATTTGCCTCTAGGTCCTGATGGGCCCCCCCTGCACTTCCCCGGGCTGCAGCAGAGCTTGCAGAGTCAGCCACATCACATTACATGAAGATTTAACCCAAGCGAGTCCGGCGCGACCCGCTGTAGAATGGTATAATATGTAAATTCCCATCACAATGAAAAAAACTGTTTATTCCTGGATGAGATTACCTAATGAGAAGACTTTACAGCCCATGAAGTCCCTTAAGCTTAGCATGACGTAACTTATAGTACATTGATTATTCTAGAATATTATCACAAGCAACAGTTCAATTTAAAGCACAGAGCTGCCAGGCTCCTGCTGTGTCCCACACACTTGACATCACTCCCTCACTGGAATAAAAGCTGTTTCGAACTGTTTTCTTTCACGCAAGGACAGAGCCCACTAAGATGTTGGCCATCAGGCTAACAGAACATGCTGCAGATAAGGCACATCTACCCCAGAAAAGAAACAGCAGCCTGTAAAGCATGGTGACTGGGATGAACACTTTTTAGACTTCAGAAAACTTTTAAATCAGAGTAGTGAAACTGTACACAGCTGAAGTCTGCTGCTATCAGCAAAAAATTTGGAAAACTGCATCCTTGGTGAAAGAGCAAATGGAAAGAGATGAGCTTGGCTAGAAGAACAAGGCACTGCAGAAGCAATGGAGCACAAGATCTGCCCCATCAGCTCCACCCATGCACTACTCACATTGCTTTGTAAAACTATGAAGGCTATAAATTTATAAAAAGTTGTCAGGGTTGTCTAACACAAGCTGAAAAGAGTCTGTTGAGAAATTCTGCTACAGAACGTCACATTTTTCTAAGAAGAGTCCCAGGGCAGACTGTGCAGGGAACAGCAGACCTTCTGGTAAAAAAACAGTTGTTACTTGTCCATGATGTCATTTTTAAGATGAAAATAAAAAAAATATTTTACTAAGTTAAATTATCATCTCCAGAAACTCTACAGAACAAGATAGGGGGGTTGGTTTGGGTTATAAGGTCCCTCAGGTTTAACCTGCAAAAATTTTAGGCACTTACTGTCCATTCTCGAGGTCCTTCACATGGCACACAGACGCTTCCACCACATCCTTTGGGTTGTGGTAGGGATTGCTGGCAATGGGATGCTCCTCGAGATGATAATGCCGGGCAGTCCCGTTGACTTTGTAGATCAGCGGGCTGGCTTTCCCGTTGGGTGACATCTCCTCCTTGTTTCTCTCCTTCTCTGGTATTACAACTTCAATTTTCACTTCAACTGCAAGAACAAACAGAAATCTTCATTAAAATGGAGCTGGAGGGTTTGCTGCCATTCTGGCTCTCCCTCCTTCCCTGGACTTTGAAAGAGGCTGACAGACATCAGAACAGACATTTTTTGTTGCCTTGCTTGGGAAGATAAAACATTTAATATCAAACTCAGCTTGATTACTCGAGTCCATTATTCTACTGTTCTTTCTCCATCAGGCACCTCTGCATGCATAAAGTACCTATTCCTGCAAACAGCCATTAGATGTTGGTGCAAAACAACACCTCAGTCACAGTTCCTGTCCTGTTTAGTGGAAAACAGCTTCAGGCAGCTAAATGTGAGGCATGCCAAGACCTTTAGGGCTCAGAGAGACTTCAAAAACCCCTTTAATTATTTGTAGGTGACGTTAACTGAGAGAGAAAGCCAACACTGCATGGTGTATAAAGCTGCTTTATTAAACGGAGACCAATTAATAAGGAACTGGAAATATCCAGAATTGTTTCTTCATGAGTTTTTCAGCATAGAGTGAATCTTCATCATTAAGTGAGAAAAGCACGGATTAGCTGGTTTAGTTAGGTGTACACCACGGAACAGGTTGGACAATAGCAGCATCCCTGGCCTGGGGACCAGGGGACCCCGGGATGCGCAGGAGCCGCTTGTGCCAGCGCAGCGCATCCCCCCCCCGAGCATCAGAGGGGACACCAGAGCCAGCGGGTCCCCTCGGCCCCGCCGCCACCCTGGGAGCTGTCAGGGGCAGCCCCTGGCAAAGCACAGCCGGGGTGCCCCTTCCGTCCGTCCGTCCGTCCGTCCTCCTGACTCCCGCTGCCTCGACTGGGACGTGCTGCCGGTCCTGCCCTCCCCACGCCGGGACGGAGGGGGAGCGCGGGGGCTCTCCTCAGCCACCCGGGTGAAGAGGTGCAGGCGTTCACCCGAGGTCCCTGGAGGGCAGCAGGCACCCAGCCTCGCCGGGCACCCATCCAGCCACCCCCCCCCCCCACTGCCCCATGCCCAGCGGAGCAGGCTGGACGCAGGGGCATCAGAGAAAGTCAGCTCTCACATCATAAAGCAAAAAAAAACATCACTTTAGCTCCTAGGGACTTCATAAAACTAAATCCATTAATATTTATAATAAACTCCAGGGGAGTTCTATAGCGAGCCACAGGACGAGTGCCAGAGACTGAAGTGTCTTAAGCAAGAGGGAGACTGCTGAGCTTTCCCTGTCTTATAAATGTCATGAACAAAAAAAGCTGTGCAAAAGATAAAAATTGAAGCTCATGACCTAAACAGGTTAAGGAAAGGCAAAGAGAAGGGAACAAGGTGCCCTGCAAGAATGGGATGAGCCCTGCAGCAAGAGAAGGTGGTGGGTCTTCCCAGCTTCCTTTGTTGCCCCACACCATTTATTGCAAGTCAGTTGAGAGAACAATGGAAGAAAAGGTCAGGAGGAAGGTCGCTCATTTAGGAAGGAAGAAAAGCAAGTGGCTGCGGCCATCCAGGCACTGCAGGCAGGCTGTTATTTCAAGAGCCCTGCGAGTTTCTGTTTTCTGTGCCAGCTCAGCAGGGCAGGGGATGGGGCAGCTTTTTGCCAAATTGCCAAATCCTCACGCTCACCAGGAGCAGGATTCACCAGGGGCTCTGACAGACAGATCCAGGAAAGCAATTTTCAGTGTATCCACACTGAACCTGAAGAAAATGGGAACTTCTGTTCCTTTATTGTAGCTGCCAGCTGCAGCAGTTACTGCAAACTAGTAGGCCCAGCACCATGCATTGAAAAAAAAAACGTTATGAGCAAATTTCTTCCTGGAGCTCTACAGAAGCAGCCCAGCTCCCTGCAGGTACCCAGCAAGGAGATTGCTTTCCATAAGCACTGTTTTCCTGTGGCGTTTGGAAAAGCAGACAGAGATTTTCCGGGATCATGTTAGGAAATACAACGACCATCCATTTATGCCATTCCCTGTGAAATACTTTTGGTCAAAGAAACCGGTGGATCGTTTCATACGATTATGCAGTCAATCAGATGTTTATCTGGAGTGAAGGCAGCTGAGCATCCTTGGGGCCAGGCCCCCTGGCATGCTGCTGCTGCTGCTGCCCAAGGTACAGGATGAACCCAGGCTGGCACGGGTGAGGCCAGGCTGGCACGGGTGAGGCCAGGCTGGCACTGGTGAGGCCAGGCTGGCACAGGTGAGGCCAGCAGCTCCGAGCCCTCAGGGTGATGCTGGTGAATTCACCCTGCAGGGAACAGCCCCCATCTCTCACTTGGCCCGATGCCCCAGAGCCTTGTTTTCCAAAATACATTTGGGTCAGGTGAGCACCCAAAGTGCTCGCTGATCCACAGACACGTGAACCCGTGGGGATGCAGATGGAAATTTAGCTCTGAGCTCTTCACTTCTTTCTCGGTCAGAAAAACATATGCAAAAAGCAGCAGGTCTCTGGCACGGGTATGTGATAGCATTCCCAGCCACCCCTGCTCAGCACTCCCTGACACTCCTGGACAAATATCCAGAGGAAAATAAGAAGAGGTATAAAGTCTTCCTCCCTTCTATTTCGGGCCCCACGCTTCAGCTCTTGCCTCCACGGGGGGCAACTCCCGCTTGCCTCTCCCCAACCCTTTATCCCCCCTCTCCTGCTCCTCCTCATCTCCCCTGGCCCCGCAATGGGTGTCACTCTGACCAGAGATCTGCATTCCCGAGGGATGATCCCTCCAGGAATCCAGGGCTCAGTGGCACCTGAGCTGATCCAGCAAACTGCTTCAATTGCCATCAGGGAAAATGACATTTAAATGAAATATTTATAAACCCAAGTTTAATTCTGAAATCCGATTGGCGCAGTGTGGTTGGATCCAGCATGCTCCATCCCTTTGACAGTAATTTTCTGTAACTGCTAGAAGAGGTTCCTGACCTTAAAGCAATCTGTTTGGAAAGTTTTAGGCACGTGCCTACAAATCTGTGTGGTGGCCAACTCCTCAGGGGCCAGCCAAGGCCACCACTGTCACACAGCAGCACTGCCCCAGCCACAGCTGGTGGGAACAAGGGTGACAGCTGTGGCTTCCAGGGCAGAGCAACTGCTGCTCTCTGAGCATGTATGGGTCTGCACCTACAGATACAGATACGCCTGCTTGCCCTGTGCCACCAGCATCACCCATATACATACGTATACATGTATATGTTTGTGGGTTTGTGTGTCCATGTACATTTTTAATATATATATATTTTATGTCTCTCTTTATATACACACATATATGAAGGACCAGAAGGCCAAGGCTGGAAATATTTTATAAGAATATACAAATAAGCAAATGAAACAGTTGAGCATTAGCAGATACTAATACCACACATCCACATATACCTCAGCACTGCCAGCTCCTAGTATTCAAAAATCCTGAGTCAGCTCCCCAAGATCACAGAATTGCTTAAAATACAGACTCTTGTCAAGACGATAAATTTTTGACCCAACTGTGTTTTTTTCTCTGAGGTTTTCAGCCTTTAGGTCAGAGCATTGCCGAGACCTCTACGTGCACACTCAGGAATTACATCCTGACCCCATTTATCACAGTTTGCTCAGGCTGGTTTTTTTTCACACTGTGGCCACGATGCTCTTGTGCTTTGCCTCATGTCATTAACACCTGGCAATCAGTTATTAATACCCCATTACATCTCCCATAAATTTATTCCTTCTCCATCACTGTTCCGAGCCCGTGGGACAAGCCAAAGCCTCTGCCTGCTTTTAGGCAGGTACTCGAGCCATGAGGGTAGAAATGTCAGCATTGACCCCCGGTCAGGGTGCTGGCAGGTGGAGGGTGGCTGGGCTGCAGTGCAGGGCCACGGTCATTATTTTAAAAAATTAGGGTAATTAAAGGACCCAAGGCTTCTTTACCACAGGATTAAGTTCCCAGTATGGCTCAGTGCCCTTCTAGAGGCTAAATTTAAACTACAGGTATCAGGACATTTAAAGCATCATACTTAAAACAGTGGGACAGGGAAAATACTAAGTTAATATGGCTGTGCTGGGGAAGAGAGAATTGGCACGAGCCAAGAGTTGGGTGGATCTGGGTAAGATGAAGAGGCCTGGCCGTAGGGGATGGAGAAACTGGGCTGGCAGCAGGGATACCTGTGTGTCTGCCTTCTCCAGCCATAAAACCCTGCAGTGCCTCAGGGTTTGCTGCTCAGAGGCTGCAGGCACAGGGCAAACAAGCACTGTGGGCAGGGAACAGCCTTGTACCGGCCTATGGTGCCAACAGCTCCAAGAGCAGTGGAAACCAGAAAATCCCCAAGGGCAGTGGTGATGGAGGGACCAACAAGGCACGGTGGGCGCAGCCAGAAAGCCTGGTTCACCCCAGCAGGGTTTATTTTCCCACAGCCAGCACAAAGGAAATCCACTGTTGTGGGACATGGTTGGGATCTTGCTGTGTCCTGACAGAGCTGTGCTCTCCAGGCAGCCCTTGGGCTCACCCATCCTGCCTCTCAACTGCAAACCCCCGTGACAACTACTTCAGGTGGTCTCAAAGACACTCCATGCCTATTACAAACGACAGAACTAATGGCAAAAGCATCACATCAAACATACACACTTCTACCCCCCCCCTCCAGATGTCCTATTCAGCAAACACCGGGCTCCCAAAAAACAGGAGGTAGGACTTGCTAGCCAAGCCTGGGGGCACCCTCGGAGCCAAGCTCAGGAGGACACACAGCCCACAGCACCCCCTCCAGCAGCGTCCAGCACCCCTGCAAAGGGGACAGGTTCCCTGCTCAGAGCCAAACACCTTCTCTGTGCGAGGGCAAAGCTCACCCGCAGGCACGCCGGGCCAGAGCCAGAGCTGCTGCCCTGCCCCACCACCAAGCACGGAGCCCGGCAGAGGGTGCAAAGAAAAATAATCAGAACTTTATTGGTTTTGCAAGCTGCTCTCCCACGCCTGATGCAGAAATGGTGCTGCTGCAGCTCACACCGAGCAGTCGCTGGCGCACGCTGGTTCCCTTTACCGTCATCCTGACCTGGCTGCCTCTCCTGGAGCGGGTGCTGGGATCCCACGCAGACTGCCAGCTGGCAGCTCATCGCGTATGCATCACGCACCCAGAGAAAAAAAAAAACGAGAAAAAAAAAATCATGCAGAGATTGAGAACTGGGCCTTCAGAAGAGGATCCAGCGTCACGAGATTGCAGCACTACAGATAACAGAAGATTACTTTGCTGCTTGAACGTAAGCTCTTCATTAAATACTTAAATATCAGGATGGGGTCGGGCACTGCAGCAGCAGCCAGACTTCGGGGCTGGCCTCCAGTACAGAAAGCATAGTTATTTGCTGTTCCAGGACTCCACTCCCCAAAGCTCTTGTGATCTGCTCATCAAAAGGTCTTCCTGGCACACAGCAATGTGTGTGCAATGTCAAGGTTATCTTGAGAAATGCTGAGGGTGCTCAGGGACTGAGGGTCTCTCTCGAATATAAGAAGATGAAGCAGATAAGGACCTCGTATACATTTTTCAAAAGTGTCTAAATAAATTCTGTAGACTTCAGGCTGCATCTGAAATATTCCCTTCATGTCAAAACAGCACTGATAGAGAAAATAGCTCTGCTCTGTCCCTGCATGATTGACTTCTCATTCGTATAGGAGATAGGTGGATTTTTAAAAATAGGAAAGTGCACTACTTATCTCTGATGGCTGCACAGTTCCAGCAAGAAACGGGAATGACAAATATCATAAAAAGTCTGCAAAACCTCTTTACCAGAACAATCAGTGTCTGCAAGCGCATGTTTACCTCACTGCATTTGCAGGTTTTCTAACCACTGAGATGTAGCACCACAGTCAGTGGTGTGCTAACCAGGGGCTGGGGAAAGGCTTGTCAAAAGCCTTTGAAGACTGCTAATCAAAACCAGAGCTGCAGAGAGAGCATTACGTTACAGCATGGCATTTTCAGTCATTTGGCCCTGCTATGCAAATAGACCTCTACACGAAAATCTGCAGTTTGGGAAATATGCCTGCAGAGCGCTTTTATTCCTCCACTGGTCCAAGATTAAACCCAATTTTGCTGATGGTATACAAAATAAAGTGAAACCGCCAAAAGAGTTTGTTAAAAGTTTAGTCAACAAAGGCATTTGTTCCTGGATGCGTTTTCACCCCTTGAACGTTTCAAGGAAGGATATAAGCAGCATGGGTTTTCACCAAGGAAAACTTACAGTTCACAGTATCCAATGCCATATTACCTCGGCACTGCAACAACCTGTAAAATAGTCACAGTACAGGTGAAGGGCAGAAAACCACCCTTAGTATCTCCCTGTGCCTTGCAAAGCAAAGGCAGAGGACCTCACTCAGTGCATGCTCAGTGGGTTGCAGACGCGACTTGTGTTGCCCCTTTGACCTTCGGAGTCCTTCAACCTGAAATCCCCACTGCCTGAGGCAATGAGGACTAATTGCCCATAAAAGGTCCCCAAAAGAGATTTTTCCGCATGCTGACTGGTCTGATGGAGCCGCACAACTATCTAATTCCCCTTGCCCTTGGACATGAGCAGGTAACAAGGACAGAGCCATCCTTCAGGTCCCTCTTCATTGACCAAAACAAGCTACAGCACGGGAGCTCTCCTCAAAGGCACCTTTGGCAACGCCGACTGCACCGGCCCCCCACGCACCAGCACGGGGCCCTGGGGACCAGCTGCAGCGATGCCGATGCTGCCGGGTACCACGAGCCCGGGCAACCAGGCGGGACCTGCTCATCCCCACGCTGCTGGCAGGGGCTCAGGACAAGCGTAACAGTGACACTCCCACACCAGACCTCCCTCGGCCAGTCAGTGTGCCCACGCAGCCTGCACCACGGCCCCTTCCTCTCCTGTGTAAGCCCATCTTTGCCAAACCACGAAGAGCAGGGACCTGCCACAGCGGGAGCACGCAGGCCGAGGGGAACATCCTCGACGTCCGGGTGCCTACAGCTGCTTTCCCCACTGGAGGCAGCACGCACGGGCAGGCTTCACCAAGAAAATAAAATCCTGAGAGCAGAGCCTGGCCCGGGGGGTGGGACTGAGAAAGCACCAAGACATCAAGCAGTAGGTGACCCTGCTCCTTCCCTGGTCACTCCCGTCCAGCACAGACAAAATTAAGGGCTGGCCTGTGAGTGGCAAAGCCGTGGCATCAAGGAAGATGCTGGAGCCACACAGGTCTGTGCAGGGGACGGCTGTCACACAAACACACCCTGGGGCACGAGTGGGGCAGACCTGTCCCCAGGCACTGCAGGAAGGCGGGCGCAGGGAGGGAGGAGGGGGTACGAGGGGACGGGATAGGGAAGAGCTGGCAGCTGGTTTTTGACTGGGGTGGGCTGAGCGCTCCTCCCACCCGCCCACCACCCCCCAGCACGGCTGCAGCCCCCCCCCCCCCTCCCCAGCTCCATCCCTGGGAGCGAGAGAGCTGAGGAATTTGGGGGGGGGGGGGGGGGGGATTAAAATATTGGGCCGGTAATCCTCCCTGCGGGAGCCGAGAATTAACATTCCCCCAGCCAGCATCCGCTGCCTCCGACCTATTTCTCCCCACAGGGACGGGGGGGGGGGGGGGGGGGGCACAGCACCGGCGGGCAGTCACCTGGCTTGGGCTTCGAGAAGCATCCTCCCATGGCGCCGGGCGGGACAGGCAGCGGGGACGGCGGGCAGGTCAGCGAGGCCACAGGCGCATCCTGGCATGGCCCCGCCGGGCTCCGGGCGTCCTCCGCGACCTGCGCCGGGTGGAAAAGCTCCGTGAGAACCCGGGTTGGCAGGGACGGCGGGCGCTGCCGGCGGGGAAGGAGAGCTGCCACCTGCGCCAACACCCGCGGGCAGGAGCTGGGCAGCAGGAGGACAACGGGGGGGGGCAAGTGGCACCGAGCCCCACGCACCCCACACACACCCCCCCCGTGACCTGAGTGGCAAGGGGGGAAACGTAACGCAGGGGTCACCGTGCTGGGAGTCGCTGGTAAATTCAAGTATGAAATTTATAAATTCAATCATCCTTTCAAAGTTTAAAATTACAATACACCTTAGTATCATTTATGTTCAGACTTTAATAACTTTCCAGAGCCCTGCCTTTGGGAATTAAATCTCTAAGCACGTAGGTCACAGCCCAAATACAGTGATTAAACTATAAATACATTTCAGTCAGGTCTTTTTTTATTATTATTAGGTGGTGGGAAAAAAAAAAATAATCTACTTGATTGCCCAGTCCTGCAAGTTCCCCCTTTACAGTAATGCTAATTCCAGCAGAAATCCCCTTCACTTGGGAACAATTATTTACTTGAGAAAGGGTTTTCAGTATCGGTCCATTTTGCACTAAAACACAATTTTTGATACAGTTAAGACAGGACTCTTTCATGTTTAAATGGGACAGGCACACAGTCCACTTCAAGCTGTGTTCATCTCATTAGCTTTGACTGATAGAGCTCTCAGATTTAGTACAGACAAATAATTAGGATAAACCTTCTCGTTTATATTCCTTGACTGAAAACAGCAAAGATTCATACAACACAACTGGCAATGAAATAGAACATTTAACTAATTTTACCCATTCATACTTGTACTTGAACTGATTTACTATGGCTTTGCCATATATTTTTCACAAAGCCTTCCGATCTGGGCAGGAAGTTAAAACTGTTTCCAAAGGATATTTTAACACAGGCGAAGTATAACCTTTTCTACAGCTTAGGAAGTGCCTCAAGATCTTTCCAGTGAGAAGAAAATACAGAAGTGCCAGGAGACAGACGCCAAGCACTGCAACTTCTCCCTTTTACTTAAGCACCAACTCAAAATATCCAGATGTATCCCTGTGTTTTCAGCTATATCCCTCCAAATCACTCACACTCCTTCCCACACACCTTCAGACTCCCCTTTGCTGTGCATGGCATGATCCCCCACCAACTCCCAGGTGCACTGCAGGAGCACCTTCAAAGCCCGAAGCATGTTGCATGAGTTATCCAGGCTATAAAGAAACAAGAGACCGGTGCCTTGCCACATGGTGCAAAGCAGACACACGGAAACGTGCCATTTGATAATGGGCACTGAGGGGTACCGGTCTGGCACAGTAACAGGATAAAAAGCACACAAGCTTGCTTGCAGGCTTCAAAAAGTGATCAGATGTGTGTGCAGGCTCCGACAAGCTCATTTGCAAAGGGGGAACACTAAATGGAGCAGGGAAGAGCCAAGAGCTCTTCTCACAAGAGCACCCAATGAAAGCAGCACACCGATATTTATGCAAGAGCAAATGCAAAAAAACCGTCCATGTAAGAAGGTGCACAAATGCAGAGGAAGATTTAGGAGCGCTGGGAAAAAGCACAGCAGAGTAACTGCTGTATGGCCCTTTGTCAAGACTGGCAGAAAGAAGGGGAAAAAAAGCTTTGTATCAGAGAAATAGTCTCAAGCCATCGATGTATCAGTGATACAGGACAATAATTTACTGCAAAATATATAATAAAATACCATGCAAAGGTTAGCAAAAAAGGAGGCAGGTGGTGAGTGCCAAAGAGAAGCAGGTGACAGGGGATGAGCCGAGGGGGGACATCCAGAACATCCTCAGGATCAAGCCAGAAGAGAAAGTAAACCTCACCCGAGTGAGTTCATAGCAAAATGAGACGCCACTGTGAGCAGAACATGCCAGCGAGACAAAGTGAGCCGCGCAAAGGAGAGCAAAAAGAAAGCTGAACCAAGGATACTGTCACCAGCCCTCTCCCAGGTCCACCGCAGCCGATTCCCACAGCCAGCTCGGGAGCAAACCAAACCCCCCGCCCGGAGCCGTTTGCTGGGGGGGCCCTGCAGCAGGGTGGGTGCTGTGCCGGCGGGATGGGGCGATGCTCCAGGCTGGAGGTGCCCCGGCAGCACCAAGCAAGCCCTTGGGATGCTGCGCACATTGGGGAGCACAGCAGGGACCCCCCCAACCACCCGGGCAGGCGGTGGGGTGGGTAGCTGAAGGGAGGCTCACCAGAAGGTGCCTTGATCTTCTCCAAACCCCCCAGAGATGATGGTGTGTTGTCCGATGACCCTGGGACTGGTTTCCAACTGGTCTGGCTGGTTTTATGAGAGACTCTGGGAGAATGTCAGTGCTCCTCTCCCTGAGTATCCACCGTTTGTCTGAGATGCCTTTGCTTTGTTTGGACCTTAAGAATGGCAATTTGAAGCCATCGCCTCAGGAGCACTGTCACATCTCTGCATTTCCCCACTGATGGTCCCTCCTGGGCCCTTCAGAGGCACAGGCTGTGCTCAGGTTGACTGAGCCACCCGCAACCTCTTAGAATGGGTCAGAGCAGAGCACAGTGCGCTTTTCTGGGTGTCCCTCCTCCACCCCTGGAGTTAACCAGGCAAAAGCAAAACGGTTCTTGGTAGGATTTCAGCCGACACTACTGAAGGAGGAGCCATCTGGCTGCCCACAGCCTCAGTCCCAGCAAGCACACAGAGATGTTTCAGAAGGTCACTGGAGACCCAGCTGGTTTCAGAAAGGCACCAGCCTGTCCTGCCAGCCCGACTCATGAGACACTACAGGGTTGTATCACCACCAGTGGCATCCAGAGGTACCAATCCAGATCTGGATCCTGCAGGAGTCATGGCCAAAAACTTCTCGCTGGTAGCAAAGGGAAACAAGCTCATATATAACATGATGTAACTGAGCCCAGGGTCATCCTTAAAACCTTGCTAGCTCCTGAAGAGTAATGCACTGACCTAATACAAGGTCACACAGCTGATGTCCATGCCTCAGTAAACCAGTTCATAATAATCTGTTCCTTGAACAAAACAACACTCTGTGCTTCACAGGTGTACAGGAACACCTTCAGCATCTACTCTAAGAGGGCAACAAGGAGTGAGTTATCAAAATACGAGGTGCTGAGGAACATACTACCCCGTCTCTAAAAACTCCAGTGTGCATGAGGAATTGGCCGGGCAACAGGCTGTCTGCAAAACAGGACTCCAGCATCACCCAGAGAGAGCACTGCCTGAGAGCAGCCACCAGAGAAACCACCTTGCTCCCAAACAGAGGAAACGTGGAAAATAATCCAACAGGAGAAATGAAGAAAACAATCCCGCGCTACTAACCCCAGGCGTTTTCACTGCACGGCAGTAACACTGCAATATTACAACAACAAGTTTTCACTGCAGGTAAGGGATATAAAACCAGAATAAGGGCCATGCAGCTCAGCCCAGATGCCCACCCCTCTGACAGCGGCCAACAGTACTCATGTGCCACGAGCAGGCAAGAACAAGGCAGGCATACGGTGACACGTCAGCCTACGTCTCCTGCCAGGTTCAGGCTGTTCATGTGCAGATTGGGATCCAGAGCTTGCACCCTTTTTGAGAGACGGTGCAGTACTGACAGTGCTGTTATTAGTGCCATATTCACCTCTCTGCTTGCTGCTGAGCCCCAGGCTCCTATTTTAATTGAATGCTCTGCTGTGACTCCAAAATCTTTCCCAAGAAGTAATGTGGGAGGTATATGAGTATATAATACACTGTAGGTATAATTAGTATTTTTATCCTGAGCGTTAGTTTGTGTTTATTGAAACAGTCTCAGTTCATCACCTGGCCGCCAAGGTCCTTCATGTGCAGCTACAAGACTTCAGTCAGCATCTGCTTTGCTGTTGTGAATAATTCTGTATTGCCTGCCTAGAAATCTGGCACATGTCTGAGTACTGAGCCATGCCCAGTAAAAAGGGCATCTCCCAGATGTACCAGTTTGCAATCCAAGCTAGCTCCAGCTGGAAATGTCAGCTGGACACCTCCCTGTGTGGAGCGCTGAGCACAGACACACTCGTGACACTGTTCACAGGGTCCCTTCAGCCATGACTGACCTGCTGTGGAAGGGGGCCCTGGTGCATGTGGACACCAGCTGCCCCTGTGGCCTCTCCTGCCTCCTCCAGATCCCCTCGCTGAGCTTCTGGCCGTGCCCTCACCTTTTTACAGACACCGTCCTGACCCGAGTTGCCCCTTGCCTGCTGGTCCTGGACAAGTCAGCCCTGGGTGTCACCAGAGGGAGAAGCGGGGAGAGAGGGCTGCTTCTCCTCCCCTTTCTACTTGCCCAGTATAAGTCCCCACCCCGACCGATTACTGTCCCCCCGCATTCCCCAGCCAGACTGAGAGGGGTGTCCTGCCACCTCCCAAGGCAGCTCCATCCCCTCCTCACCCCGCTGTCCCTTCCTCTCAAGCCCTGGCCCCACGTCTTGCCTCCCCTCCCCATATCTTCTCCCATCTCCTCCCCTCAGTGATGTGGGGGCTCCCAATGTCAGCAAGAAGAAGACTGATGTGATCTCCTTGCACAAAGGGCTGGTGGGTGTGAGGCCAGAGAAGGCAGGGGCTGAACCCACCGCTTGCTCCCAGAAAAGGGAGCCTGCACTGCGGCTGCCTAAGGGGCCTGAGGGTGGAGGAGCCAAAGATGCTGGAGCAGCTGCCAACACCTGAGGATCCTGGTTGTGGCTACCAGAACAAGAAACATCTTGACCTCTGGGTCTTACAATCACAGATCCTCAAGATTTGCAGGGGCACAGCCCCTGGTCCTGCCACAGCCGCGCCTCCTCCATTGCCCTATCCTCCTCCTGGGCCAGCCCTAGGACTGCTGGGGTTCCCAGGGTCTAAGGGCTCCAGAACATGACCATCAGTCCGAGGTAACTAGACAATGATGGGAGAATCCTGCCACCACCAGCAACCGACCTCCAGCCTCCCAGACAGTTCAGGATCATGTGCTCAGCCAGCCTTCCTCCCCTCTTGATTTCTGCCGGGCACAGGCTCACCGTGCCCCACTGCCTGGACTTGCTCCCTCTCACAGCTGGAAATGCCTGCGTGATCTCTGCCACGGGTCCAGCAAACCAGGCTCCAAGACTGCCCTGCTGGCAGGGGGCAGCAGCCTTGTCCTCTCCACACGGACCTCCACCGCAGCCGAGCTCTCTGCTTTCTTTGCAGTACTTGGCAGGAGGCTCTGGAGGAAACCTGGGAGCACCTGGACGATCTTTGAGGAGGTTTCTGAGGAGCCACTGGAATTCACAGTGACCAAGTGGGACATCTGGGACCTGCTCTGTTCCAAAGGAGATGACTTCAGTCTCTTTATTGACATCTGGAGATGCCTCTAGGGAAGGAGGGAAGGGGTCCAGCAGTGCCGGTGTCCCCTGGAGCCACGGCAGCCCCCGGGGTCTGGGCGGCAGGTCTTGCTCACCGGCTCAGGGAACAACCCACCACCAGTTCTGGGTTCAGGAAGGAGCTTTTTCTCCTGGGCGGGTTGGTACAAGTCCCCGGGCATTCTTTTTGCCTCCTGCTGCAGCACCGAGCACGGCGCGTTTGCCAGGGTTCCTCAGGGTCATTGCTGGCCAGCAATCCCCTGCTGTTGCAGCACCAGGCGTCCAGCTGTGTCCATGATCTCTCCGCCTCTCTTCGCTGTGGGAGCTTTGTTTTTCTAGCTTTGAGTCATTTGTAGCATAGGTCTTCTAAGGCAATGTCCTACAGCTCCACGCTCAACAGGAACTTCTGTTTTTTTTAACTGCCCCTGCATACAATACAATTTTCTTTTTATTGTATCTCAGTTCTGTTGTCTGCAAACATATGCTTATTTCTGTCTGAAGAACTTTGTCCTTCACAAGCTTTATCAGTTCCTGTAGACAATTTTTGGACTCAAAGTGATGTTATGATCATTTGAAGAACTCAGCACTTTCTTCTCAGGCCATCATGGATATCTCTGAAGAGTCCACATCAGAGCATGTCAGAGTAATTTCTTTCCTGCTCAGTGTAAGGACACATAAAGTGGGTCTTGCCAACACCCTTGTTCTCTGTATGCTTAGAGCTCACCAGCTCCCACGACACACCTAGGTCTGAGAGAAGGCCCTGTGGCCAGAACAAGAAAGTCAATGGAAGCACCTGTACTTGATACCATCCCAACAGACACCTGGAGTTTTAGGAAGGTCCCTGATATCTACCAATAATGGCCTTTTTCTACCATACCTACTGCTCAGGTGAGAGATTCTGACCAGCGGTCACACACAGCTGGTTTTCCATTTGAACTCTTTATTCTGGACAGAATTGATCTTCAGAAACAAGAATGCAGAATTTTCCTATCGATAAGCCTGGACACACGCTGCCCCACATTCCTCGGTTCCTCACCCACCAGCACGCAATGCCACGCACACCAGGCACGCCAGGGAACAGAGGTCCCACGGCAGCTCCACATCTCCTGGAAGACATTGCTGGTCTGCAAATGGCCTCGCCTGCTCTGCAGAGCGAGGAGGACCACGTGCCTTTTCTAGCCCGCGAGATCTGGCTCCGCAGGCTGCGCCCCACAAGCAGGAGCACAAGAGGAGGGGATGGCTGGAGGCTCAGAGCGTCTGGTGGCACTCTCTGTACTTGTAGGGAAGAGCTGGCTCCAACTCTGGTCCCCGCTGTGATTAAAAAAAACAACCCTTGATCCCAAACCTTACCCTATCTACCACAGAGCTGCCTCCTTGCCAATTCTCCGTACATGCAAAATATTGTCTTTAATACAAGGCCCAGCAGGAGCCATGGAGCCGCCCCAGCAGCAGACCCATTTCGGACACACCCTACAAACAAAGCGAAGCACAGACCCCACCGCAGCCTCTCTGATACATCCCGTCCCATGGGACAGCCCAGGCTTTAGTCCCTGGGTGCAGGGCACCTCCCCTGCCCACTGAATCCTGAACTTCACCGGCACCCAGAGCCCTCAATACCCACCCACCTCCTCACCCCACGCGATGGCACAGCAGCAGATCCCAGCTCCCAGCTCCACCATTGCCCTCTGTGGCTCCATCCCAGCCAGGCATGAACCCCCCCCCGTCACACCACCAGCCCCCACGCACCAGACTCACACTCCTGGTGTCCTCCTAAGACAAGGGCTGCCCATTTCTCTTACTGTTGTGGGGATTTTCTCTAGTTTGACTCCCAGGGTGATTGCCAGAACTATGTGGTGGGCCACCACCCTCCATCACCCTCCCACCCCCTGGTGCAGCAACGTTAGAAGGATTTAGGAACGGCAACTCCACATCCCCCTGTCCCTGATGAGTATACCCAGACTCCCTGCCTCTCTCATCTCCTGAAGGTCAGCTCCTGTTTCATCCTTGGTACCCCTGTGCGCAGCCTTGTGCCCTGCATCTCCTCCATCTCTGCTCACTGGGGCAACTCCAGCCACAGGCCTCTCACCTCTGCCTCCTCAGTAAGTGTCAGCAGCATCTGCTGCTTTGTGGGCAGAGGCCATTAATAAAAAAATACAAGGAGGATCCCAAGAGTCACTACAGCCCACCAGCTAGCACACTTGCTTCTGCTCAGTAGCTTCCTGGCCCCCAGAAACCCTGGCATGACCCCCAGTCCCCTTGCCACACCTCCCCAGCCCTGCCAGGGACCAGGCTTCAGCCCAGATGCCCAACAGCACCCTCCTGCAGCCGACCTCCTTCCCTCCCCAAAAGCAGACAGTCTCCACGGGCCACCGGTTTGGAGCAGTCTCAGTCCATCCCAGCACAGCCTGGCAGAGCAGGAGCCCGCACAGCCCCCGCAGCGCACAGACCGCGATCCCCACGGCGCAGGGCGGGCAGTGGCGAGACAGCGTTTGGGCTCTGGGCACCTTCCGACTGCCTCCACCGCCCTGCAGAGTACCAGGACACAGCTCCACCAAAAACCAAGGCAGCTGCTGGCACAAAGTCCTGCTGACACCCTGAGCTGCCTGCAGCCTCCCTCCCTGCCCACCCACGGGTCCATCCTCCACCCGCTGCACCCCCCTGGGCATGGTCAAGCTGCCACAGCCCACTACCATGAGGAGAAACTCCCCAGTTTAGCATCATGAACTCCAGTTCCTTGTAAGGTCTGGCTCAGCAGAGCCAAACCGCCCCATCTCCAGGACAAGATGAGCTCTGCTGCCAAGGAAAGCAGGTCTCTCCTCTGGATGCAGATCTCTGAGCACTGCCCAGGCATGACCGGAGCACCGGGGGTCTCAAGCTCTTCCCCCTGCCCCACGAACCATGCTGGGCGCGCTGTGTTCTCAAGGCAAGGCACAGCAGCCCTGCTCTGACCCCGGGGAGGTGCACAGGGTTCACCCACCACAGGAAAAGCCTGGAAAGTACCAGTGGGAAGACAACCAAGTCACACAAAAAAAGAGCGTGACAGGGATGATGTTTTTAGGGTGGGGAGAACTTGTATTTTTAAAATAATGTGGGGGTGAAAAATAGACAGGTCTCCAACCTGGAGCTATTGCTTTTTTCAGGAATTGCACTACAAAGGATGAACACGGGGCTCTCACAACCCCCCCCCCTCCCCCAACCGTGGCTCCCAGCGCTTGCACAGACCAGCCTCCCAGCACGGGGTGCCCAACTGGGGGGAAAACACCCTCATTAGTATAACTGCCACCCGTCCCTCCACCTCGAGGATGCTGCACCCACGACAGCATCACACTGCTCGCAGGGACGTGCTGTGCACCACTGCCTGCCCCCTGCCCGCGCCGCAGATGAGCCAAACTCAAGGGGGTGCACAGGAACCCCCTTCTCTCCTCTCCCCATCATCCCAACCTCCCTTTTACCTCTCCAGCTCTTTGCCCCCTTTTTTCCTCTTGGCTAGCTCTCCGGCAGTTCCCCCTTCCCTCTGCCGAATCCTCCTGCTCCCAGTTTCCTGCCATTTCCATACCCATCCCAGCCCTGCTGCCTGGCCCCCACTGCAGGCATCCCCTGGCTCCTGACACAGTCAGAGCCCCACCGGTCCCCTCCTTCCACCCCCTTGCCTCTCCAGGGGAGCCTCCAGCCCCTGCCCACTCAAGACACCTCTCCCCACCAAACCTTTACCCCTCCAGCTGCTTCCTGACAGGGACTGAGATTTGCTTTGCCCCCACCTGGAGCAAATCTGGCTTTGCCAGGTAATTTCCTTTCAGATGGCCCCAAGAAACAGAAGCAAAACACACTGCAAAACAGCAAGAACAGCTCCCAGCCTCATCTCACCAAGGACAGGGAGGAACACATCCCGGCGTGCTTGTCACCAGGAGTTTGTGGCGGCAGCAGTGCAGAGAAGCTACAAAGCTGCCGTTTAACGTGCCCCGCTGGCTCCCAAAGCAGCACAGCAGGAACACTGTGTCAGATGACAATTAGCCACAATTCTTTTACTGGCTGCTGCTTCAGCAATTTATAGGCTCCAGGTTAAAGGCTCATTTGACAGCACTGTCATTGCCACCCCTCCAGGCATGCCCTCTGCAAGCCAGATCGGAAATATTCAGAAATTAATAATTAAACACAAGATTTGGTTCAAATCTCAGAGGTACTCCAATAAAAAGCACAAATGCTGAAAATTCTCCCCAGGTGCAGACTGTTTGATGCAAAAATCAAAACATTTCACAACACAAAAGAGTTTTAATTCTTGACCACTCTATTACAGGCAGCCAAGTCCCCCTCTCGCTGGCTATCACTGCCACTTCACAATTGCACAAGAGAAAACCGTGTTCCCTACAGAAGCTGCAAGCAGCTGAGATGGAGTTTATCACAGCACTGTTTTCCAAGACTAACAGCTGAAGCACACCACCACCAAATTTCAGCTTCCATCCACCGCACCCAGAATTAGATGTTCCCTCCCAAAGGAGACCGTGCTGTTACCCGCACTTTTCCTAAAAGCGTTTTCCCGCAAAAGCAGGTTTGCGCCTGCAAATACCGCTTGGACCGCGTTTTGCCAAGTCCCGCAGCCGCTGCTCTGCGGAACCGGGGCTGTTCGCCCAGGTGGGGTTACACACACACACACACCCACACCCACACACCCAAAACAGGGAGAAACAAACTTGGAGGACACGCTGGGTCGGGCGGGGGTGTCGAGGGGGGCAGACAGGGACCCCCAAAACGGAGGGTTCGGGAGAAACGCGGCTTTTCCCCCGGCAGGAACTCGCAGCCCGGTTCTTTTGCTGCTTTGGTTTCCTCGGCAGCTGCTGCATCCCAAGAGAGGTGCGGGCACAAGCGGCGCTCCCGCACCGCTGCGGCGGCTGCCCCGGCCCCGCCGGCACCTCGCGGGGCCCCGGGGGCCGGTGCGGGGCCCGATCCCCCCGGACGGGGGTAGAGCTGCGACCCCACTGCAGGACACGACACCCCACACCCACACCCCCCCCCCCCCCCCGCGCTTACCTGGGCAGCCCCGGCGGGTGCCGGCGCGGTGGGCGGGGCCGGTGGGCGGGGCCGGTGGGCGGGGCCGGTGGGCGGGGCCGGTGACACCCCGGGGGCCCCGCCGGCCCTTCCCACGGCCGGGGCACGCGGGGCGTGGATGGCCACGCTGGGTCCGGGCACGCAGAGGCACCTTCGGTGCCGCCCGGTGGAGCAGGGCAACTCCTGGAAATAACCTGCCCCGTCCTTTCCCCGCTGGTTTCACATTTGCCTTCGGGATTCACATTTCTCTGCTCTCCCCGAGGATCAATTCCGCCCCCTGACTGCCTGGCACGTCTCTGTTCTCCCCAGTAAACTGTTTTCCCTCTCCATCATAGTCTGTTTGGCACAGTGTCAGCATCTCTGTGTGCCTTTTCTTATTGCATGCCCCAAATACGTCCTTTATTTTCCCTCTATGACTTTGGAGACCACCCTGGATAGAGAGGAAGTTTTTTCCTCCTCTGGATACAGATTGTCTCGGATCACTGCCGTCTTACACCTTCATTATACGACTCTCTGAGGTTGTCCAGGTGGTTCACTGCCCTCTGATGCCCAGCTTTACTTCTTTGCTCCCTGCTCCAAATGAGATAAGAGGCTTAACTGGGCTGTTCAGCTGCAGTTTTCACTGGTGTTAAAAATCTACCCATGGATGGAGCCTGCAAGCTCGGGAGCTCCAGGGAGCCACACGCCTCCACAGCCTTGTGAGGGGCCTTGCAGAGCTGCCTCAGTTTGAAGGCAGGAGAAATGACACCGGGTCCACTGGGAATGTCCGCAGGCAGCGGAGCAGGAGCATCCTGCACGTGGTGCTGTGCCTGGCTGGGGCACGGTGCGGAGCTCATCACACAGAATGCGGTACTGCTGGCAGCGGGGACCTGTGGCAGCCAACAGCCACCTCCATTTCCCTACCCGGGTCGCAGGATTTTTGAACCCTGGTGTGGAAAACTGCTCCCACGCAGCTGCCAAACTAACAGCAAGGATTGGGCCTTGGAAGGAGTCAATAAATCGCTTTTCAGGGAATTATGGCAAGAGTAAGCTCTGTCAGCGGGTCACAGGTGGTCAGGCTTGGCTGACGCTACAAGCGTACAAGATTTGGGGCTGTTTTGCTGCATCTTGCAGGGCTGAGCACATCACTCTGGGGGAGGGATGGCAAGAGACTAGCAGCACTGTGGGGCTGCGCTGCCCTGGGAACAGCAGGAGAAGCAGCTCTGCCTGCAGTGGGGTGACTGGGCAAGGCCCCGTGACGGCAGGGCACGGGGGCAGCCCCAGCCCTGAGGGGTGGCGGTAGATCCTCCCTTCCCCACAAATACCACAGAACTGCTGGGCAGTTCATCACCCCGTCATCACTGTCTCTCGGGGTGAAGCCTTGGGCTTCGGGCACTGACTCCATCACCCTTACACCACTCCCACATTGGGCACTGCCTGGACCACAGGGTCGGTCACCGAAATGTCCTCGTTCCCCCTCTACCAGGTCAAAGGGAGCCCTGAATGTCACTGGCAGGTCCTGCCCCTCCTGCCCTGCTCCTGGGCTGCCCCAGCCACCCTGGGTGCGTGGCAGGGTGCTCAGCCATCCTGGAGCGGTTGGCGGGGGTGGTGGGTGCTGTGGGGCAGGGCCTGAGAGTCTGCCCCAAGGGGGACAGCAGAGCCTCACTGGGGGGCTGGCAGGGCCATGCCAGCAGTGCCAGGCAGCTGCCTACCACGCTGCCTACCCTCAGTCCCCTGCCAGCTCTGCAGGGAGATGACAACCCACTGCCCTGCACCTCTCACCAGCCTCAAATTAACCCACCCCACCCACCCCCCCGCCAGTGCAGCAGGGACTGGGACGGGCTGGTCCCCCACGCAGCCTGGGGAACAGGCAGAGCTGGCAGGAAAGGGAGGGCAGGGATGTGCTGGGGAGAGGGTGAAGGGCAGGCACTGGGGTGACCCTGTAACCAAACAGGCACCCCCAGACCTGATTTCCAGGCTGGATCCAAGCCTCTGCTGCACCGTTTCCTTGGGATAAAGCTCTGCCCTTGCCCGCACAGCCCTGCCCTGCCTTCCCCGGGGGGAGAAATCCAGGAAGAGGAGCCGGGCTGGGGAGAAGGGGAAAGGGAAGGTAACAAGAGAGAGAGGCTGTGCAAATGGAGCAGCCGAGGCGAGAAAGGCTGGTGCAGACAGGGAAAAAAGCCCAGTGCAGGCAGAAGAGAAATACCAGTGCAGGGAGAGAGCCCATGCAGGCAGGGAATAAAGCCGGGTGCAGGCAGGGACTGTCAGCCCTGATATCACTCAGTGCTTTCAGTTTCTTGGGAAGTGACGGAGCCGGAACAGCAGAACTTCTGCAATGGCTGAAAGAGACGCCATGGCAGAGCAGGAGCCCAAAGCCGACAGTCCCTCTGAGTTCTCTATCTTTGTTGACACTTCCTTTGGCAAAACTTTTGAAGTGTCGGTGTCTCCGGATGACAGCGTACAGGAGGTTAAGGCCAAGCTGAACAAACAGGACTCCTCCCTGATACCCGAAATAGGAATTCTGATCTACAGTAACAAAGAGATGGAGGACAACCTGACCCTGGGACACTATGGAATCACACCCAACAGCTTATTGCGTCATACACGAATATGTAAGTGCGGGGTGGCCCAGGGGAGGTGGATGAGGATCCATCTGAAGATGAGAGAGGGAGAGTGGTGCAGATCAGAGTGTGTCCCAGTGAGGCACCCTGGCCAGGTGCGCAGGCAGCAGGGAAGGGGCAAGGAGGCTGTGGCTGTGTGTGCACCAGGGAGCTGCCAGAGCACACCTGCGTGGGAAGGTGGGAGGAATGCCAGGGCCCAGGGGTGCACCTGTGCAGCAGGGAGGCAGGAGGGAGAGGAAGGACCCTGCTCCTGAAAGCCAAGCAAGAAATCTCCTCTCTGCATGGCAGTGGGGAGGGATGGAGAAGCAGAGGCTGGGAGCATGTTCTCAGCCCCGCAGTGTGCTGCCCTCCTGGGACAGGCAGCTGGGTGGGACTCCTGGTGCCCAGCAGCTTGGTGGGAGTGGGCACAAACCGGCAGGAAGAGGTTTCATAGCAAAGGTACAGAGAAGAGGGAGAGGTTGGAGGAAGGATGGGATACTCCTCTAGACGTGACCTGGCTCCTGACCTCTTCTCTGCTTTGTGTTGCTGTTGCAGTGCGAGGTGGTGGTGCAGCAGTCAGACAGAAATCTCAAGGTAAGGCCGTGCTCTGGTACTCACTGACAAACTGGTGCAGCAAGGCTGGTGGAGCTGCGGGGTGGTGAGCGTAGGACCTCAGCTCACTGCATGGTGGTGAGCATGTCCCTGCCACGGCTCAGGGAGGAGAATGTGGAAGCTGTAGCAGATGTGGGAGCATGCAGTGGTACATGAGAGGACCACTGCAGCTAACGGGATTGGGAAGGCTGGGTGAGGGCTGCTTGAGGACGGTCTCTTCTCCCAAACACGAGGCAAAAATGACAATGTCTTTCCGTTGTTCCAGCTGCACGCTTATCCCGGATGAGAAAGCTGGCACACTGTTACGCACTTGCGACAGGCGAGGCGTCAGGGAGCTCAGAGGTGAGGTCTTGCAGGACACGATGCCCGAGGCTGGGGTGCCTGAGTGAGGAGCACCACGGGGTTGGGCAGGAAGACACGGCTGCAGCGCGCAGGCTCCCGGCCAGCCCTGGGGATGGGAAGTCCAGTGCTGCCCATCGTCACCACAGCACCGCGCCGGGTGGCAGGAGCCGGTGCTGCTGCCCTCTGTCCCAAGAGGGGGACCTCACCTTGCCGGCAGGCCAGGCAGACACAGCTCCCACACCAGCCTGTGTCCTCCCTGCAGGAGCGCGGAGCAGGGCCAGCGCTACACCTGCCACTGGAGATGTTGCTCATGCTCTCAGTAGACCTCTCCTCCTGCCTCCAGCAGGCAAGCACAGCCAGAGAGGAGAAATACAGATTGCAAGTGATTTCCCCTATGTTTCCTTCTGCAGAAGAGCTATTTCTGGCAGAAGTCAGTCTTATTACCCTACAGAAACAGCTGCTGCTGCCCAGAGAAGGTAAGGGCTTTGCCAGTCCTGGCAGGGTAGTCTCACCCAAAGAAAATGGCATGGCAGGGAGCCCAGCTGTCACCTGGGAGGTTGGATGTGTCTTCAAAACCTGTTATTCACAGCCATTCTTCACCTTCCAGAAGAGACAGGTCTCTTTTCCCACACTAACTCAGCATGCACTGCCCCAGTTTTAAGGCTCGTGGGAAGGCAAAGTCCATGCTTGCATCCCAGATTTATTCTCACTGCTAAACTTTTCATCTGCGTGTGACCACTGTCCTCTCTGCTGATAAACCATGGCAGAGAGGGAACAGCCCCAGAATTTACTCACAGGAAAGTCAGCAGCCAACAATATTTTCTCTCTCAGTAAACAGAAACTTTCCCATCTGGAACTCCCATTTGCAAAATACATCCTAAAAATCAGTGGGTGAAACACCTAGTTTGGAGCTCCGGGAGCTGCTCTGTGTGTTCACCCATTATCTTTCCTACTGATACATGGGGGATGCATGGACTAACTGATGCCCTCCCCACCCCAGTGGCATCTACCCAAGTGGGGCTAAGTGTTCAGTCCCAGCTGTGCCTGCACGCAGGAGTTCTCTTGGGCACCACTACAGGGATCCACATTAAAGGGGTCAAGAGCCTCAGACATGGCCAGTGCTTGTTTCAGGGAAGAGAAGTTGCTAGTCAGTGATTTTTCTGGCCTCTTCACTGATGAGAGTGATGCCTTTCTGGGCACTGGGCAGCAGCTGCTGATCCCCTTCTGCTGCTTGTGAGGATCTGAGCTCCCACACCAAGATGCATTGTACTTCACTACAAATCCCAACACGTCTCAAGCAGCACCCACTATGAAACACCCCATTCAGTCCCAAACTGGTCACACTTGTGTTGCAGTATCTTCCAGAAGTGACGCCAAAGATAATCGTAGACGTTTTGAAGCAAAGCACTCTGTACCGGTAAGAGCTGTTGGGTGAAGCGGGAGCACCTTCCAAAAGCCCCGTCCCCAGCGGCACGAGCTTGTTGTCCCTCCCACCTGCAGAGCTCACCTCCAGCACGCAGGCATCTTCAAGTGCTCCATCACGGGCCTCTGCTTCGAAGTGAAATCCGCCGTGACCGTCACCTACGGCTACGCTTCCTGGACTAGTCACCTGACAAAGGCTGAGCAGGAAATGTGGGTGCCGGCTGGACCCCTCTTCCAAATCAGCGTGGAGCCCGAGGTCGTAGAGGCGGTGCATCTCCCCCACTACATCTGCCTGGCAGGTACAGCACCCGCAGGGACCCGGGTCTCCCAAGTCGCTTTCCCTCAGCTTGTCCACCCTCGGAGATGTCTCTGGCTCCTTGGAGACCTCTCTCCAGACGGGGGACAAGTTCTCCCTTCCTTCCAAGGTCCCCTGTACCCCCTTGTATTCCTCTGCTTTGCTCTGGCATCCTTCATCCTTCTCTCACTTTCTCTCAAGGCTTCGCAGTGATCCCTTCCCCAGCTCCCACTCCACACCACCAGCCCCTCCTCACCCATCCTCTCCTCCCAGCTGCCGTGATGACCCCTGGGCATTACTCCAGCCCAGCTGCAGAATAAGTGCAATTAAATTGTTCATTTTCATGCAGGCAACTTGAGGAGCCGAAAGGCTGCAGATCAGCCCCCAGGACTCCCCTGGAGAGTTTCTCAGCTCTCTGCATTTACAGCAGCTGTGGATGGCAAGGGTCATCCCTGCTCTGCTCTACCAGGACAGGAGCCAGTCAGCTCTGCCCACTCAAAGGCTGGGCCCCCCCAGGGTGGGATGCAATAGGTCAGAGCTGGCCTAGGCAGCAGAATAAGTGGAATTAAATTGTTCATTTTCATGCAGGCAACTTGAGGAGCTGGAAGGCTTGGTTTTGTGTCCTCTGTCCTGTTAATGAGAGGAGGAGGAGCATCAGCACCTGCAGCTGGGCTGCAGAGCGTGCAGAGGAGTCCCTGTCCCCATGCTGGGGGGCCCTGACACAGGCACTGGGTGTGCTGGCCAAGGGACTCTTCCTGGCAAATCTGTGTCCTATTCTAAAACCGAACATACTGCAAAAGGAGTTTCTTGTTGCGTGCCTCCATCTCCTGCCCAGGGCCTAGCAAGCACAGCCATGTTGGCCAAAAAAAGTGCCTCAACACACTCTTCACTGACATACCTGTGCTAAGCAAAATGCTGTAACTGTATTAATCTGTCAGGTTAATAGAAAAGTGTGCTCAAGAGATAATCTCGGTGACTGGACATCAGCAGAGCTCTCTGACCCAGTCATCCCTAAGGATGTCACCTCGGGCTGTTCAGGCTGCTCTGGTGATCAAAAACCAGAGTGAATCATCATGCACTGACCATCTGCCTCCCCAGTATGTCGTGGTGTGGTGCTTGTATGCAGGATGCTGCACGGGTGCAGTCTGAAAATTTTCACAGTCCCAAGCTGCCACCTTCAGATTTGCAGTTTTCTGAGCCCTCAGAAAGACTGCCAAAGACCTGCAACTCCCTCTTGAACCCCAAAAGTCCAGGGCACACATGACACCTGAAGCACAACATGTCATCGTGTGTGGGTGCATGTCTCGTTTCTGCTGCTAAAGCCCTAAAGAGAGGGCGGCAGCCTCAGAGGCTGCCCATATGACTAAACAGAACCTTGTTGCCTTTGTTGTCTCTTGCAGCACACATAGATACCAGCCCGTGCTTCATTGCCCATTTTAAATCTGAGATGTTGACCCTGGAGAGACCGACCAAACTGAACACTTTCTCTGCTGTCCTGGAGAATCCCAGCTTCTCACTTCTTGGTGTGATTTGGAGGAAGTTACGTTCAACTTTAAATTTATTCCCTGTTCACGCCTCGGTGCTGATCTTCCAGCAGCTCAGTGCTGCAGACACAACTCTTCACCTCTACCTGATCCCAGATGACAACTCTGTGAAGCAGGTAAGATGGAGGGAGCTTGACCAGGTTAAAAAAGGACAACATCTGGGGTGGCTTATCAAATGCAGTTCCAGCAGCAGGGGCTGTATTTGATAAGCAGAGATGCCTCCCAGTTTTTCTGCCACCAGCCTCTGATTCACACACGGTCCTGTCCCCCATCTTCTGCTGCAGGACAGCATCCTTTGCGCCTGACTTCCCCCGCCCCCCCCCCCATCCTTCCCAGATGTCTCCAGGTTTCACACTCTGTGTTTTGGGCTGGGACAGCACGTTCTAGCACGAGCAAAGCCGTGGCACAGGACACTCTGCAACACAGAGCAGATGTCAGCCTTGCTGGCCAGTGCCAGGCACAGCAGTAAGTGGCTGCATACCCACTGTTGCCCTGCTATGTGCCAGCCTTTACCTTCTTTCACGGAGCGAGAGTGGCCCTGCCCATGGCCTGCCTGCACACCATAGGCTCCTGCCTGTGCCGAGCGGGAGCTGCCTGGCCCCCGCAGCACGGCACTGCCTGTCATACACGCTCAGCACTCTGTTCTGACTGGGTTGGTCTCTTCTCCTCTTGACTTTCCAAGGGCTACCTCCAGTTCACAGCTCTTTTGTTTTTTCCCCTCTCAAAAGTGATGCTTAATGTTTACAGGCCATTGAAAAACAAGAAATTAATTGGAATTCAAAGCTTATTCCCAAGCCTCCTCCATTCAACCTTCTGTCCTTCGGCTGTGTTTACCAGGTGACCAGTACAAGTTCTGTGGTGATAACACCTGAAGTAAGTGGGACTGTTCCCTTTTTTTTTTTGCAGTGAAATAGAAAATACAAGAAGTCTCTATCTTCAGCCCTATTCTGCTACCGGAATCTGTCTTACTAGGTGTCAGAGCCGGAGGTGTAGGGAGATGTACTGGTTACAACTGGCAAAGGTGTTTCATGATACACATCCCCAGAAAGAGCATGGAGCGCACCCCAGAGCCCCAAATGGGCTGCATTTGTTTTTCTTTATGGCAGAAATCATAATGTGGAACTTGTTGGACTTAGTGTAGCTACATATCAAGAGGGAATTTCAGAGGTGTTGTCCCAAGTGTGGTCCCACGTCCCTCATCTTCATCTCCTCTGCAGTGAGTTCCCTTCAGCTTAGGAGGAGGACTTGAGAGAGACTTTCTCTCTATGCCATTATGTGGTATGACTTCTGTCTCTGTTGAATCTGCATTTGAGCACTTCTTATTTTTAGCACCATGTCCTGTGGGAATCAGATTGCAAAGGCTGGGAAGCCAAAAATTCCAAAAAAAAACCCCAAATTCCCAAAGATCTGGAAAGATTTGGCCATATACTCCTTGTCGTTACTTGTTTTACACAGGAGTTTGTGACATCCTGAGAGCAGCTGATGATAGTCCAATCACACATTCATGGCTGTTTATGAAAACCTCCTTTCATGTGTCTGCACTGCATCATAATCACGAAAAAGAAATAGAGAAACTTGGGTTGGATGGAGACCTCAGGAGGTCCCTGGTCCAACCTCTTGCTCAAAGCATGTGAGTTTTAAAGTTAGATCAAGGTGCTCAGGGGTGTGTCCAATAAAGGTTGAATACCTCCAAGGATGGAGATGCCACAGCCTCTCTGTGTCTCTAGTCCAGTGTTGTAACACCTTCATTGTGATTTTTTTTTCTGTTATCTAATTGGAGTTTCCCTTCCTGCAGCCAGTGCCTGTTGCTTCTTATTGCATCGCTGTGCACCTCCAGGAGGCTGGCTCTGTCTTTTCTTTAGTCCCCCTTCACTTAGTTAAAGACAGTGATTTGTTCTCTCCATGACATTCTCTTCTCCATGTCAAACAAACCCAACTCCCTCTGCCTCTGCTTGCATATCATGCACTCCAGCCTGGACCTGGCCTTGCTCCAGATTGCCCCGTGTCTTTCTTGTACTGGGGAGCCCCAGACTCGACCCAGTGCCCAAATATGATCTCACAAGTGCTGAACAAAGGGAAGGAACCCCTGACCTCGCTGTGCTGGCTGTGGTCTTGCTAATACAGCCCGAGATACAACCAGCCTTTTCTGCCAGAGCACACTGCTGACTCCTGTCCACCTTGCACGCCCACCAGGACTCCTGAGTCCTTTCCTGTGAAGCTGCTTTCTGTCTCCACCCAGGGCCCAGGCTCTTGTCTGATGTGGGGCTATTCCATCCCCCACACAGGTTTCTACATTTGCCTTTGCCGAATTGCATGAGCTTCCTGCCAGCTAAGCTCTCCAGCCTTTCCAGGTTCCTCTGAATGGCATCCCTCCCTTCCAGCTTATTCATCATCCCCCCTTGCAGCTACAACCCTGCCACTGAGCTGAGCACAGCCCCAAACAGCCAGGGCCTTCAGCTTAATTGAGAGACAGTCTTAAACCCAAGAATCACGAGGTAGGGTTTGGTTTTCCCACTTCCTGGAATGACTAGGTAGTAACTGGGCACCCTGCCTTGAAGAGCAGTTGTAAAGGTGACAGAGCCAAGCTCTCAGCAGTGTCGAGTAAAAAACATAAGTTGCTACCTAGAAAGTTCAAGCCAGATGTAAGAAAATGTTATCACTTGGTGGAGATGCAGTCATCAGGGAAGGTTAGAAGGTGGTGAATCTTTACTTTCAGATTTTCAGTACTCAGCTAGACAAAGCCCTGGCTGAGCAGATCTAGACTTTACATTGGTCCATCTTTGAGAGGCAGGTCAGATAAGACACTCCAGAGGTCTCTTCTAACCAAAATTTCTGATATTGGCAGCATAACAGAGCCCTGACATGTGCATCTTCCCTTGTCTTTTCTCTTACTGGTATGCCCAGGAAGCATAGGATGGCATGTGTGAATTCACATCTCCTCACGGTGAGAGAGACTCAGCTTGTTTTTTACCTTTACAGCCACGCTTTACTTTCTACTACAAGAGTCCAAAGAATGAGCAGCTCTTTCTTGAGATCTACATCAAAAACATGGAAGAGGAACTTGAGCTCTTTATCACAGACATGCAAAATGACATGGTGGTCTGGAGGGCACTGGTGAGACCAGGTAGGAACAGCAGGTCCATCTAGGGGCTCATCAGCCTTAGCAGAAACAGACCTTGGGTGCACCACCCAAGCAGACCACGTGCATTTTGTGGTCACAGCTGTCCATGTGTCCTGCAGGGAAATCAAATATGCAGCAATTGTCTACTTGTCTAATAGTGACCTGAAAGGACACCCCCAATGTCAGTAGACCGGATCTTCAGATTTAATGTGGAGTTTCAGAGGCTGGGGTTTAAGAAAGCATGACAGCACTATCGGTGTCTCTCTGTTCTCTTGGCTACTTTTTGCATAGAAATCCGACTTTTAAAAATAAGTCCATTAATGTGACAAACACCCACGGACGTGCAACCACTGTGTGATGCAGAGGAGGTAAGGAGAATACCAACACCTTAGTGAAAACCAACATCTTAAAAAACTACACGTTCCAGCCAGCACTGCTCTTCCAGACTTGTGGGGTGCAACACCAGTGTGAAACACCACCAGGAGCACACAGGATCTGAGTAAGGCCAGATGGACCAGAGCCTGCCTTCCGCACAAGTCTCTGCTCACAGAGGCATGCAGCAGGTCACCTGTGTGAGGTCTGCTCTCTTGTGGCATGAAGAGACCATTGCTTACAACTATTCTGCTTTGGGGCTGACTGTGCCGACAAGGGTCCCATGCAGAACTTTGGTCAGGACAGCAGAAGACATGAGCAAAAAGGAGCAGGGTTAGCAATGGCGGGCGCCAAGACTTGGGTCTGGGTGTCCTCTGGCAGGACAGAGGTGCACCCAGCTCCAAGGCAGAAGATTTCTAATCTCCACGCCTCTCTGCCCAGCTGCTACTGGATGGGCACATGCCATTAACTTCACGTAGCAACACCCACCCATGGGGTGCCCCGTGGGAAACCTTGGCAGAGGAGCTGTGGGCAGCAGCATCTCGCAGGCGTAGGGTATGATACTGCTCAGCGTGCCTCGAGACCCCTTCTGTGTTGGTCTAATCCAGCACACCCCTAAAAGTAACACCTACAACCACACAGAGCCCAGGACCCTTTATTTTCTCAACAGAGATGGTCAGAAACAATAGGAGGAATGGCTGACACCTTCATGGAGGCACCTCAAGAAGATGTTGTGGAAGATTAGGCACCATCATTTCAGTGATAGCATATTCAGTGATATTCTCCCTTCTCTTTCAGGTGATATTGATCTTCCTTCCAAGACCTTGTCAGGTCAGTACAGTATTTCAGAGTTGCATTTCTAGAGTCTGAATCTATTTCTTTGGAGCTCACCATCCTCTTTTTCCATCCTTATGATAGCTTCTAGACAAAAAGCCTTGAAAGCTGCAACCTCAAACTTTTATTCCCACATTGCTGGCAGCATGCTCTGTGCCATGCTGATGGGTAAAGCGGCATAGTGTAGGTGACCCTCCAAACTGGGTTGCCTTCTTTGGAGACAGGTATGCTGTTGTTACAGAGAAATAGCTGCAGCAGTTCACAGTCTGTAAGTGATATTCCATTGTAGTTCTAGTAAGTGGTACAGCTGCTGTGTCCCATACAGCCAGCTCAAGGGCTGATGGCCCCTGTGCCAAACAGGAGTGTTTTCCACAGTCCCTGGGAAGGAGCCTGAAACCAGGTGTTGGCAGAGAGGATGGCAGGGACACGTTTACAGCAGCTCCAGGGGTTTCTGACCAAGGGGCTGTGCTTTCCACTTGCTTCAGATACAGTGACAATATGCTGCCCAGCAGTTCTGCGGATATTATCCCAGCCTAATTTCTCCAGGGCCACAATACTTCACCATTACCTCTCGCATCCTGTCTTACTAATGAAAGGCCAGATCCAAGAGAACACCCAGGCAGCTAAGCCACAGGTTGAGGTAGATAGGCCTGGCTCAGATAGATACAAATATGGACATTTCAGTGTTATTCTTTTTCCTTGCCATGCATGTGGAGTCGCCACAGTGACCTACAACCTGCCTAGGAGCACTGGGAGGGTTGGGTGGCAGACAACAGCAAGGACAAGATATGGGGCAATGGTTTTAAACTGAAAGAGAGCAGATTTAGATTTCACATAAGGAAGACATTTTTTACACTGAGGGTGGTGAGACACTGGAACAGGTTGCCCAGAGAAGTTGTGAATGCCCCATCACTGGTAGTGTTCAAAGTCAACTGGATGGGACTTTGAGCAACCTGATCTGGTGAAAGATGACCTTGCCCATGGCAGAGGGTTGGACTAGGTGATCTTTAAAGCTCCTTTCCAACCCAAACCATGCTGTGATTCCACAAGGAGATTCCCACCTGGGCACCCACTTCAGCCTCAAGCAGGAGGACTGGGTGGAGGCTTGGGAGGAGAAGCCGGTCAGCGCTGCCCACTGCACCGACCCGCGGCTTGCTCAGCACCCCGCTGGCATTGGCTGCTTTTCCAGACTCTGTTTATTTACAAGCTGCTTGCAATCCTGTGAGATTTCAGAGCTCTGAGCAACCTGTGCTCTGAGTTAGGAGCCCATCACCTTGCAGGGCGAGGGGCAGGACGGTGACTTCATGCCCAGACACAGTAAGAGTCCCAGGGGGGACAGCTGCCAGCAGCTGATGGGGGCTGCCACTAACCTCACCTCCTCCAGCTCTGACCTCACATCCCAGACCCCTTCCTTGCCCTGCCTCCAGTGCTCCCACCACTGGTCCAGCAGGTCCCCATCCTTTTTGGTGGAGGGGTGGAGAATGTGGCTGTAGGACCGGGTGCACAGCCCTGGTGTCTGCTGTCTTAGGATACCATGTACCGTGGCGTGGCGCTCACTGCGGCTGCCTGGCTGTGTGCAGCACAGTAACATGAGCTTGGTGTCTGCTAGGTGCAGTCTTCATAAAGAAGCACAAGACCAAGCTTTGCTCCAGGATGAGGCAGCTCCCCAGCATTCTGCTACACTTACGGAATGCAAATGTCATCAACAGCGATGAAGAAGAGGAGGTGCAAGGTCAAAGTACAAGTCAAAGGAGGAACCAAGTTTTGCTGGAACTAGCTGAGAAGAAAGGGCAGAAGGCCCAGGAACAGCTCTACCAGATCCTCCAGTCGAAAGACCCGTACCTCATTGCAGACCTGGAGAAGTCCATCTAGGCCTGGGAAAGCAGACTGCTTTCATTCCCATTGCTCAGCTGACGGGAGCAACAGGAGGGCAGTCAGCATTTGAATCCTGACCTTTCGGTGCGAACTCCATGGTGCAAAGCAGCAATAAGCCTTCCAAACCACCAGGTTTCAGGCCCGCCTTGCTTGGCTGATTCCGTTGCCAGCAGTGGACAAGCAGTGTCACGCCAGCCACTGGTGAGAAGCTGCTGGAACAAGTTCCCAAGCCAGTGCCAATACCATGGACCTGTCTGCCTTCCTGAGACAGGGCCTCTGCTTCTCCAGAAGCTCCAGGCAGCTGCTAGCAGAGAAGTTTCCATCACTCCAGCTCAGCCTCCCCGTCCCATGTACCTCTCGCAGCTGGAAGAGGGGAGCTGCTTTACCACCCAGAGCTGTCTGTAAAGGCTTGTTCTCATTCACACACCAGAGCAAGCCATATCACCATCAAAACTTCCCCTTGTTTCCCTCCAGACTAGTTTACCCAAATGATCAAAATTCACTGAAGCAGCAAACAAGCATCCTGATGCCAGCAGCAGCTGGGTAAAGGAGCTCCTCCCAAAGAAGCCATGAAAAATAGAAAAGATGAGATACAGGTTCATGCGTCTTCAGGGAAAGTCTGACTCAATAACAGCCACTTTACCTTCAAAAGACAGCAGATTATTTTTAAATCACATTCTTCGCATCCATAAAATCAGTTCCTTTCTGGATCATGTGGATGCCTTCACTGATGGCATCCTCCTGCTGTCAAACACACCAGTCAGGACACGAGCAGTCTGCTTTGGTGTCCATTATCTACGAAGAGATTTTTTGGGTCAAGCTCAGGGGAAATTCAGACTTGCCTAAGTGGAGACAGCAACTTCAGGAAGCTTAAAGGACCTTCCAGGGAGCGTTGAGCGAAATGGTCCTCATCGCACGCTCCATGGGGTGGAAATGAGACTGATGCTTTAAGTATTGCTTTGTATTTATTCCTTCTCTTGAACACCTGGAGAGCACATCGCTGCTGAAACACACCATAAGAGCGTGTCTCTGCTCCGGTAGGAGTCACGGACCTTCAATGCAACCAGGGATAATACAAAAAGGAAGAAGCTGGGAACGAGACCACGCAGGGCCACAGACCTGACCGGTGGATGACAAGGGGGGCAGTGAAGGGACCAGACAGCACCGCTCACACTGATTCATGGGCTCTCCAGAAACCACACTGGGGCTGGCCCCTGCAGGAGGATCAGCCTGGGCTTTGCAACTGCTGAGTGTGTGAACCAGGGGGACCCCAGACGCGGGCTGGGGGGTGCGGGAACGGGCCTGTAGGGACGGGAAGGGGAACCAGGAGGAACAAAGTGGGAGGAGGCAGAAAGGGGTATAAAAGAGGCCACACAGGTATAAACTGGCTCAGTTTGGCTGAGCCCTGTGCCTGGCCACTGCAGTCTATCCTATCATTTTATATTTTTTTATTAAATGTTTTCTTAACTATTTCTCTGCGTCAGCTCAGTCTATCCCACGTGAGTGTGTGCTGCAAGGACCAAGTGCCAGCTACTTGGTGAGACCTGTGCATGCCTCAGGGGGTTTGGTGTCACCTGCCGGGGTGAGTGGGGTCCCAGTGCAGTTACTAGGGTGAGCGGGGGTCTTTAACCTCCAGCTGTGGGCTGGGAATAGTGTCCCCAAAACTAGCTGCTGGGTGGGAGTGGTGTGAGGCAAATGAGGGGCTCCACGCAGCTGGAGCTGGACCATGTGCCACAGCCTGTGTGTCTGGTGGGGGGCGAGAGTATACCCCTCAAACGGCGTGGGGGGGAGTGCCTGTGCATTCACCAGCGAAATTCAAGCTGGACTGGTTGGTGCATCAAGGACCCGTGGGGTGAGCCTGCAGGCCGGGGTCCAGGCAGGGGTGCCGGAGGGACAGAGGGCCCCACGAGTGTGTGTGTGCTCAGAGGACCCACGAGTGTGTGTGTGCCTGCACTGGTGACCTGCTGCCTCTGCCGCCCCAGAGGGCGGGGGTGGTGCGTGACGCCGGCCCTGTGCGTGGGCGCTTGCCACGGCAGCGCCTTGCCTGTGCCCGTCTGTGGGTGCTGTGTCTGTGTGTCCGTCTCTGGGGCACAGGCTCAGTTTCGCTGCTGGTTGAATCCAAAAAGGGGAAAAGCGGCAGCCGCATCCCCCCGCCTGGGCAGGGTCCCCAGGTCCCGGGGCTCCAGCGGCCGGGGGCGAGGGGCTCCGAGCGGGGGGCGCCGGAAGCGGCCACGCCGCCGTGTCTCGTGAACACGCGCGGTGAGGAGAGCTGGACTGCGCTCCCCCCCCCCCGCGGGCTGTGGGGGAAATCCTCAGCCGGCCCTGCAGCCACGCGTGGGCAGCGGCGCGCCCCGGCTGTGGGTCTCCCCGTCCCAGGGGCCGCTGCGGGGGCGGGCGCGCCGCGAGGCGGGGCGGGGGGGGGGGGGGGGGGGGGGGGCGAGGGGGCGGGGCGAGGGGCGAGGGGGCGGGGCGAGGCGGGGCACCCCGCCAGGCATTGGTGGGAGCTGCCGGCGGGTGAGGCGGGGCCGCTCTCTTATTGGTGCTCTCGCGGCGTGGGGCGGGGCGAGGTGGCTTCGTTCTCGCGGGAAACCGGGAGCAGAGCGGGAAATTCTTTCCGCGGCGGTGGGCCGGGATGGCGCTGGCGGCGGGTGGCGGTCCCGGGGGTCCCGGCGGTCCCGGGGGTCCCGGGGCAGCGCGGTGGGGCCGGCGGGCGGGCGGGCCCCGGGAGCCGGTGGCGGGGGGGGCTGACGGCGCGGCGCCTGGCAGGGACGATGGCCCCGCGCTGTCCGCTTTTAAGCGCCTGGAGCGGTCGCAGCGCACGGACCGGCTGGACGCGCTGTTCGGTTTCGAGCGGCCGGCGGAGCCCGGCGAGCGGACGGGCTGGCTCATCAACATGCACCCGGTACGGGGCGGGGGGGTGGTCCCACGGGGAGGGACCCGAGGGGGTGGGGGGATATCCCACGGAGGGGCCCCGGGAGGCCTCACGGGGGGACCCCGCTGAGTCAATAATGCCCGTGGGCAGACGGAGGTGCTGGACGAGGACCGGCGGTCGGTGAGCGCCGTGGACTACTATTTCATCCAGGAGGACGGGAGCCGCTTCAAGGTGGGTCCCCGGGGGGGGGGGGGCTCAGGGTCCCACGAGGGGACCAGCTGTCATTGCTTATCTGCTCTCTCCTAGGTGGCCCTGCCCTACAAGCCCTACTTCTACATCGCCACCCAGAAGGTGAGGAGGGGACCCTGGGAGGGCTGAGGTCCCCAGGGAAGTGGACAGCAGGTCCCTAAGGAGCTTGAGACCTCCTGGGTGTCCTGCTTTGAGATAGTCTCCTCCTGAGGGGCAGAGCAGTGCTGCTCAGCCCCAGCGTCTTTCGGCAGGGCTGCGAGCGAGAAGTGTCCGCCTTCCTCTCCAAAAAGTTCCAAGGGAAGGTTGCAAAGCTGGAAACTGTCCCCAAAGAAGACTTGGACCTGGTCTGTATTCCTCTGTGCTCTTGAGTAGAGGGTTTGGTGTTTTTTTTTTTTTTTAGATCTTAGACAGTTTTGGTGAAGTAGGAAGGGAAGTGAGTAGTGAAGGGAAACAGCACACTTGACTTCCATCTCCTCATGCTGCTTATTGTGCCTATTAGAAATGAGTTGGTTATGGCTAACTGCTTGTCAGTAGTATTTACATTCCTGTCCTTGAGCATATCAGCTGTTTCACAGTATGTTCAAGATATTTAATTGCAGGAAATAATGATTGGAGGAGGAGAGGATACTGTAGGAGGGGGGATACTGCTCATGCTTGACTCACTCTACCTCCTCTTCCCTGGGTGAATTCCCCTTTTTTTGGCCAATTCTTCCACCTGCATCTGTCTACTCTGCCTTCCCTACTCTCTCCTACAATGGCCATCCCTCAGTACTCATCCCTACTGAGCTGGCATTGTCTTGCTTTGCAGCCAAACCACTTGGTGGGCCTGAAGAGGAACTACATCAAGCTGTCCTTCAACACGGTGGATGACTTGGTGAAGGTGCGGAAGGAGATCTCTCCTGCTGTGAGGAAAAACAGAGAGCGAGACCAGGCGAGCGATGTCTATACAGCCATGCTGTCAAGGTGGGAACTCTCCTTAGGGCAGCTGCTTGGTCCCTCGTGTTAATTAGGCTCCCTTGATTATTTTTTAGCTGTCCTCAGAGAGGTGTTGTTCTGCCTGGGGTCTGACCCCAGCTATGCCTCTCTGCCACCCATCTCTGAGGTGGTTCTTCCAGCTCAGTGCTGTACATGAAGAGGCCCCCAAGCCTCTGGGATGTGATGTGCTGTGGTGGTGCCTCTGCCTGCTGGTCAGGTAAATCCCCTATCCCCTGAGAAAGGATATTGAGGGGCACTGAGGAACCTTGCTTCTGTCTGTAACCAAAGGGGAAAAAACCCCAGCAAACGTATTCTATCTGAATAAAAAGCCAGGCACTCGTTTACAAGATTGGAAATATGGTTGTAGAGAGAAAAAAAATAAGAAACATCGTTTTTAAAGTCAGCCAGGAAAAATTTGCACCTCTCTTTGGATTCCTGGCCCTTAAATCTGATTTCAGTTGGAACTTGAGGAAGAAGAATCAAATGAGATGAGTGTTCCCTACTCACCTGGAGAGTGTGCCATCCCTGTTCAAAGTGCTTCCCAGGTTGCTTCATCCTGCTTAGACTTGTTACCATACTTATAAATCCACTGCCATAAGAACCGTTCGTTACGGAGGCACGTGTGGGTTTTATCTGCCTGTACCTCTGCGCAGACGCAGCTCACAAACATGAGTAAGGGTGAATTTAGATGGGAGCGATGGTACTGCACGTGCTGTCTGTCCTGGGGATGCCTCTGCAGGCGAAGAGTGGCTGCGTGGCAGGGAAGCGTTTCCCATTCTCTCCTGTCACGGGCCCCTGCTGCCGGGTGTCACTGGTGCCCTGTGGCTGTCCCCCCCAGCCGAGCCTGCGGCGATGCACACTCGGGTAAGGTGGCTGCTTCGCTCCGCTCCTTGCAGCGCTCTGAGCGGAGGCAGCCTGAGCATGGATGAGGAAGGGGCCTCCAGAAAGGTTGCAAACCAGATGGACAACATTGTGGATATGCGGGAGTACGACGTACCCTACCACATTCGCCTCTCCATTGACCTGAAGATCCACGTGGTGAGTAAGGAGTAGGGGAACTGGAAGACCTTTGCTTTCTTGCTGCCGTACTGAAGTGCAGGCAGGGCGGAAACATTTTCTCGCCAGGACCTTTGCAAAGGTGTCAGTGATGATGAATCCATGTGTAAAGATTAGTCCCGTCCTGCTGGGCCTTCTCCTTAGTTATTGGCACACAGAAAAGTTAAATGATTGATGCACAGCCACAGTTTGAGCCTTGCCTCTGGGCTGCATTTAATTTGCACAGCTCAGTCCCCAGCAGCCAAACAGAAGTGATGCAAGGAGCTGGCCTGCAGTAAGGTGCTGCCCACCCTCCTCTCTCAACAGGCTCACTGGTACAACGTGCGATACCGGGGCAGCACCTTCCCTCCCGAAATCACTCGCCGAGACGACCTCGTGGAGCGACCGGTGAGTGTTGGTCAGGCAGGCGTCAGTCTGTCCAGGTGCATGGCTGGTGTGTCTGCCCCAAAGAGCTGGTTTCTGTTGTGCTGCCAGTATCACTCCATGGTGTGCAGGGGGAAAGCTTTGTTTCTGGGTTTGGGCTGTGATTTTTGGGTTGATAAAGCAGTAAAATGATTACTGGGGAGGGTCTGGTTCACTTGCTGAGCTTAATGGGAATCACTCTTTAACTTCAAGTCAGCTTTAGAATATTTTCTAATGGATTTGGTCCTGTTCAGGATCCTGTCGTTCTCGCCTTTGACATTGAAACTACCAAACTCCCTTTGAAGTTTCCTGATGCGGAGACAGACCAGATCATGATGATCTCCTACATGATTGACGGCCAGGTAAGGGACAGCAGAGTGGTTTCCTCCGTGCTCCAGTAGTGAAGCCAGGGAGCAGGCCAGCATTTCACCTCCAACCCAGCTCACTCCAAGCTTGCCTTGCCGCTGGCTGCTTGGTGTGTGGCTGTGGAAATGAAATTTAAGTCTGAATGATGCGTAAGATACTTAGTTTTGTGGTACCCAGCTCAGGTTGCTGGTGCTCCTCTGAGGGAGCAGTAGTAATCTGGAGAGCACAGGGACGACTCTGCTGTCCCATGTTGTCTCCCCGTGGCCTCCTTAGTTGATGGCCAGCAATGATTTAGCAGATGACTCCCAAACAGTTGTTCCCCCTTGACAGAAGCTCTGGCTTTTAAGAGGAAAACTTTCCATTGTTTGGACAGCAATTCTGGGTTGCCTGCAAGCCAAGTCCTCCTAACTGCCTCCTTGTAACCTCCCTAGGGCTACCTGATCACAAACAGGGAGATCGTCTCTGAGGATATTGAAGACTTCGAGTTTACTCCCAAACCAGAGTATGAGGGTCCGTTTTGTGTCTTTAATGAACCAGATGAAGTAAGTCAGT